ATGTCCCACCTAGACACATTCAAAGCAGTTAAGCACGTTGATCCTGGCATTAATCAATCACAAATGTTCGCTAATGTTTTTACGCATTTTTATATAAATTAAGCAATCGTATCAATTGGAATTACTCGTTGAACCTATGCTGTCATGTTTTCATTGCTGATAGAGAGAGCATTTCAACATTAAAAATGGTTTCCTTTTTTTTTAAACAACGCTCACCTCTTTTAAAAATGGAATGTATCCAAAGAGAATAGTCCGCGATTTTTTGGTCTGGAACCCAGACCCCTTCGGCCCCCCCCCCCCCCCCCCCTGGGCGGATAGTACTTTTTCAGCCGCGGCATGAAAGGGAGCAATAACGAATGCCACGTGATCAAATGCCAAGGAAATGCCAACGATCTGTATGTCGGTTATATAAAAAGTTTTGTCAGTAGGCAGGCCCATTTCAGTTCGATACGGCAGAAGCACGCCGTTTGACGCAGGCCTTTACACACGCCAGACAGTTTTAAGTGATTGGCATACTGAGACTAATTTAATCTCTGAATGCTGCTGTATTAAATAGAAAGTTTTGTCAGTAGGCCCATTTCAGTTCGGCAACAGCTTTTATTACACGAATTTGATCTGTAACGAGGAATTCCTCAGACTGTGTTTAAATGTGGTGACCTATGAAATTGAATGGTGAATGACTAAATCGCTTTGATAAAAGCGTGTGATTTTTTTTCTCATACGTAATTGAATGTAAGAGTTGGTAAATTTGAATGATTTTTTTTTTAATAGCCGGGAAAACCTATTTTAGTCATGTGGAACATCAAAAACGGAATTCATGGAAATCAGAAAGAAATGTTTGCCGAACTAATTGGAACCCACGACAGCATAATAAAAAAGCGCCCTCTATTCAAATAGCCCCCCCAAAATGCAGGCAATGAGTGTAATTCGGTCGTACCCCCGCCCTGCAAACTGCAGGACGCTGGTACACGCTGGTGAGCTTCACAGAAACTTGTGAAGGAAGTGGTGATGGCATCCTGGGTAATTTAGCATGACCTATGTATAAAGCACCCGACTGCAGCTGTTCAAGACCGCAGTTAGCCCGGATGCGCGCAAATGCTATCCGAAAACTTTCTCATTATGTGCACAATTCATACCGGAAGTGAAATTCTTTTTCGTTGTGGACCATGTGGACACATTTTGAGCGCCGCATATTGCAATCATTGACCCTTCGTTAATTCGAAACGGAGCCTGAGCAAGTGAAGGGAATTGCAACTTTACAACACAGATAAGTTTTAGGCCCTACAGATTTCCCTACATTATAAGTTATTACGCTATTCAACGAAAAAAAAAATTATAAATTGGAATGAAAGAGTGAAGATACAACATTTGCAAACATCAAAAAACGAAATGATCAAATTATCACGAAATATCTTACTTGATTGTTAGGGGATGACAGTCTAAAGCATCCGGTAAAGTTGTGGCTCCTGGTGTTCTGACGTTTTCAAGAAAAAACTGTATTTTTCCAACGCTGCTCGGCCGACCAGCGTTGGAGAAAACTTGTCCTTTTTCAAAAAGTGCTCCTACTTTTTTATATTTAGTTAGTCTGTATTTTCTTTGCAATTGATTACACACATGTGAACTTCTAAAACCCTGCTAGACTGATTCTCTAATCTCACAATTCCCCAAAGTCTATAAATTTGTCCGTCTTATCTTAAGTGGGGTCAGGGAACCAGACTACAATAATATTATTAGTTTTCTTGGTTTTTCCAGCATCTACGAACCCAAAACGCGAGACAAATCGGTGTAACAATATTTTCTATAACATACTAATCCTCCAAATCAATTTATTTCGGAAAATTGCAGCAAAAGCAAATGTTGTACATTCACTTTAACGGCGTTTAAGGTTGGAGGCTTGTAAATCGATCCAAAATTTTCAAAATCGCCGACGCCGGCAAAATCATGATTTGCATGCCCTCAAATTCTTCGTTATTTGAGCATATTGTGGAAGCCCTGGACAGGACTGTGACCTTGTTGTTATGTGCAATTTGGATGAAATGGAGCCCAACAGCGCTTTAGCATGCAATGGAGTGTAGCTATCGTCGTTTTTCAAAATGGCGATGGGCTTCAGGACCATTGAAAGGGGTGATCATCTTCGGATGGAAATTTCCCCTAAAAGTCATCAGTTAACTCTCCAAAAATTGAAAAGAAAATGAAAGATGATGAAATTAGCTTTAATTTAATGTGTCTCGAGTACCTTGGAGTGAGGAGACATATACATGTACTGTCCTAATTATGTATATCTGCTGCGACAAACTATCCATGCAAGCATACCCCCAACCTCCAGTAACCCTCTTTTTCAGCCCCCCCCCCCCCCCCCCCCCCAGCCCGACTGCGTCTGGCCGCACAGTACTACCGCAAGCTCTGTAGTACGGCCAGACGCTCAATGCTTCCACAAAGACTGAATTTTTTTTCACTCTGATGTAGCGATTTGGCTACAGATTTTGATCGAGATTATCTTTTCAAATTTCCAAAGTTAAGGTTCTTAGTCGTAGATCAACTCATACCTTTTCGAAAAAAACCTTCTTTGGTCTCAATATTTTCATCCATCTGGCCAAAAAACGACTTTCAGTCATCATCTTCCACAAATATCGTCCCGAAAATGTCCTCCATGCGATTTCAAATGGCGTCCGCGTTGTAATGTATGCATTATGCGGGAGCGCTTGGGCAAGATATGCATTATTTAGTTCATGACCTCGTGTTTGTATGGCCAGCCGCGCCGCACGGCCGACAAACGTCATAAACTATGATGCATATTCATTATCTTGCCCAAGCACACCTGCATAATGCATACATTACAACGCGGCCGCCATTTTGAAAACGCATGGAGGACATTTTCAGGACGATATTTGTGGAAGATAATGACTCAAAGTCGTCTTTTGGCCAGATGGATAAAAATATTGGGACAAAATAACGTATTTTCAAAAAGGTATGAGTTCCTCTACGACTAGGAACCTTAACTTTGGATATTTCTGTCCTGCACGAGAAGATAATCTCGATCAAAATCTGTAGCAAAATCGCTACATCATTTTATTTTATGCGTCTGGCCGTACTACAGAGCTTGCGATAGTACTGTGCGGCCAGACGCAGTCGGGCTACCCCCCCCCCCCCCAGCCCCCCTCCAAAACAAAAGAAAATGAAAAAAAAAATTTGAGGTAACTTACAAAAGAACAAAAGGAGCGTATATTCGTGTGGCGGGTACTTAAACCCCTTTATCAATCCCTCTTGACTGATAAAACGACATGAAGCAAGCAATAAACACAGTGTACAACGAATGTATGCATTTGTAACAAACACGTACTTTTATTAAATGAGAACATAATCATGACAGACTTTCAATGTTACGAAGTGCAGTTGAATTGAAATGCACGTAAAAAATCAAACTGCACAATCACACAACCAAATAAATAAAAACCTGCAATGTAAATTTACACAAAATCGTTAAGTAATACATGTATTACCAAAACTGTACACCATACACTGTAGCATGTTAATGGCGGGTAAGGTCAGCGGTCAAACTAACTTAATACAAATGTACATTGAACACTGGCAGTTATCCACAACTCACCTACAAACAACATTAACAAATTGGCATTTAATGTAAAGAGAAATATCTGCATATCACAAGCAATATACTCTTATGCATCATCTCTTATGCAAGTACATGTATACACATACATGTATACAGTCACACTTTCAATTTTCTTGTGACAACGATCATGCCAATAAGATGTCGTGTCCTGGCCTTCTATTCTTTGTGACCCCCCCCCCAAAAAAAAAATAATAATAATAATAATAATAAACTGCCAAACTGAACTAATCAGCTTGCAAATAAATGAGCAAATGAAGACGTCGTGTGATTTACAATTAGACAATACACGAAAAACTCCAAGGCTAATAAATGTGATAAGTTCACAATTGGTGCTGATATTAATTTGAAGGCAGAGTATTTTTGTATGGACGAATTTGACTTCTCCAACAATGTGAGGTACTTGCCAACCGTCCCTTTTATCAACTACAAAGTACAAGCAAATAATAAATACAATCGATGCCTGCACTACTAAATACAATGAATGCCTGCATTCATACCATAAGTATGGGTATTTTGTGTCTACTTGCCAGTTGAGAACACCCATATTATGGCTGTGTGATATGCTTTTTTTCGGATGTGTGTATTCCATGCTGCAGTCTTTGAATGAAGCCAAAAATAAAAAAAAACCCACAAAATACAGTCTCAAGCGTAATGATCATGTTGCACAGAATACTAACATTTTGTAAAATATTCATGTGCAAAAATCAATGCTAGATTTACTACGAACAGAGCAGTTCTACATTATTTTTCACCAACAATTTTGCACATCATCTATACTCTCCAAACAAAATTCAATCAGTCTACTTAAACACATCACGTTGCCCAAAATCAACCACCATAGGTGTAGTGAAGTTATTATACATAATCTATGATCACTAACAAATACAGGGCAGAACATTCTGCACTATCATTATGATTTAACTGAAAATGAAATGTGCATTACAAGTTATTGAAAAACAAACATACATCATAATGAATCTTCTACAAAGAAACACATAAGTACTCAACACTAAATTGAAGTAAATCATGTAACATTTTGGAAAAAATGGAAAACAAATATCATACATAAGGCCAAAAAAATAAAATAAGTCGGTCTCTGGTCAGCGCGTGCGTCGATTTTAATCATGCGCGTCGATCTTTTTTTTTTCCAAAATGTTCCGCGGTACCTCGAACAGTGCCCTCTATTTCCGCACCTCCTCAATTTTTTTTAACAAAGAGCACCAAGGAATGGGAAATTGCACCAAGGCAAATGATCGAAAGCACCAAGGTAAATTATGGAGGACACCAATGTACATGAGGACACCCAAAAAACAAAATAGTACCCCACCTTGTCTGTACAATCCAAGCTGGAGGGAAAAAAAAAAAAAAGTGGCCGCAATTCCGGAACTTTGGTCTGACCAATGACCGTTTCTTTTTATTTTTTGGCCTAATAAACATTCAGTTTCTAGAACTGAAACATGTGTCCATTTAGACTAAGGTATGATACCTATACGAAGACACTTCTGGCACAATGAAATTATTCATTATTAATAATGATCAAGGACATGAAACTGCAACGCTCTACGTCCATTCGTTAAATACAGTCGAGTCTCGTTATAACAAACTCGTTCGGACCTAGCCAAATTGTTTGTTATACTAGAATTTTGTATTAAGAGGAACATCAGTCCCATTTATTGTGCACATAACTGCACAGTCAGGACTAAGGCTTTATGTTTGTTATAACCAGAATTTTGTATTAACAGAGTTTGTACTTACGAGAGTCGACTGTACCGGCATTTGATTCAAGTACATGCACACACACATGCATCGCAACCATGACAATCTTGGAAATAAGTACTGCCATTCACAATGACCGCCGCGCTCAAACACTTTTCATTGGGAATCCGGCACTTTTGGGACCGGTTTTGCAATCCTCGAAAATTTTATATTATTTGAAAAAAAATCACACGACAAAATAAATGTTTAAATAACTTTCATATGAGCTTGTGTTTTGGAGAGAAATGGTGAATAAAAAATGCAACTCTGACACATTTAACTTCTTCCACATTGGGATATCACATTAAAGCTGACAGCTTTTTGGTGTCAAATACTCAAAAGTATTGGGTGTTTCCGCAAACCTTTCATTATTTAGTATCTTCACCATGCAAAGCCTCAAATCTTACTAAAGTATTGGGTTGTTGAATGTCAAAGTAATTTTTTATTCAGGAAAACTTACAAATATGTTACTATGAATTCTCTTGGAAATTATTTCCAAAGAGAAAATTATATCTCAAGACCTCTAATTGAGTATCAAATTAAAGCACATTATCATTGTTAAAAAACAAATTGGTTTTTTAACATTTTAACGTCACCCATGTTCGATTACACAAAGTGTGAACAGCCAGGTACTGTTATACTTTTGTTTGAATGAAACAACATATGGGCGATTCCAGCTTCACTCGCATTTCACTTTTTGCATCCTTTGTCAATCTTAGTGGTGTACTTTTTACAAAAAAGAGAATTACTCTTTCAATTTAGGGTTGGAAATACTCAATATATAAGGCTCAAGCCGTATGGAATTATGAAATTTTAATGATACTAAATATGAGCATGGCACGAGCGGAAAAAAAAAACGTCACTCGCATTTTGTAAAAAGGACATGCCACAAATGTTCTTGGTTTTAATTGAAAAGTCTCCTCAAACCAAATGTACCACAACCAAGTTATATGTACTAGAAACTTACCATTATGAAGTTTATACGAGGGTTACAAATACCTTCAACAACTAACTGTATTAAGTTAGAGGGGAAAAGTGCTGTCACTGGCATTTCCGTCACTCACATTTCCGTCACTGGCATTTCAGTTTGTCTTTTCATGAAATTATGATCAAAATGAAACTTTTCCTTCACAATTCCTATCAAGTCTTAGCTTAGAATTTTCAAAAAACCTTTGTTAACCTTTTCAGTGTGCTCACAATTCTAATCAAATCAGGGCTTTTGTCTTTTCAAACAACCTTCAAAGTTTGTAAAAGACTCAAAATATTAATTACAATGAAAAAATAAAATATTAACAAATGTACAGCCGCAAATTCACTGCTCTCTAGTTTCTGAAGTCCCATGCTTAAGTTGTTAAAAAAAAAAATTGTTTTCAACCATTCATGTACATTGTACTATTTGAGTTAACACACAACCTTAGCAGGAGGAGCATGAATTATTTCACCCAAAGTGACTTTCAACAGTTAACCTACAAGTTTTATTCGTGTAGGGTCAGACTGTTCATATCGAAATAAAACTTGGAAATTTCCTATGGAGATGCAATGCATCATGGGTACCATAAATGATGCCTGCCTTCTATAGGTCTTAGACAATATGCATACTCAGTGCATGTACTATGCACTTCCCTCAATATTACCATCTAATAGCTTCTCTGTCTGCATTCTTATAGAAAGTGATATCGTCAGTCGCATTTCATTTGTCACTCGTATTTCATTTGTCACTCGCATTCAAATGTCAAGGGCTCTCTATTATAATGTGCTGGGTTGTGGGTTTAAATACTTGTTGCTTTTATACTTGGTACTGGTTGGAGAAGCAAATTATCAATTGTCAGCAATATAATCACTACCATTTTAAACTAATAATAAAAAAGAGATCTTTTCGTCACTCGCATTTCATACGGCTAAGCATCTACAACTGTGCACCTACATGTCTTTCAAAAAAGTCATGGACAGATTTTTATTTTATTGTTTTTAAGGTATAAAGTCATACTACTAAATTGCAGAATAAGTTTGTGACTAATGCTTTTTCCAAGAGAAATATGCAAACAAATGAAAATGCACAAAAAAGTAGTACATTTTATAAGCCAAACATCACCAGGAAGAACCGTGACATATTTCATAGAAAACAAAAACGATGAAGATTTGACTAAAAAAGTTTATATTCTGGTCCTTACATCTATTAGCAATAACTTCATATTGATAAGGAAGTTCAGGAATGAATTTCAATTTGTTAGGGCCACGTCCCTGTTTGCTTGCAATTGCCCACATGCACAGACAAGTGGATGTTCGCCAGCGAAATCTTTCAAAATCGATTTCTCCCATTTGGAAGATTGCATCTTTATGCAACTTTCAGGTTGATCCCCGCTAATGCTTTTTAGTTTTGATATGTCAAGTATTTTTGGGTAGAAATTGAAAAAAATTGGGTGCTAAGATTAACACCCTATTTTTTCGCCATTATCATGTGCAGTAAAAATATGCAGTTTTGCATGCTCAACCAGATATTAATTAATAAATATCGACCTTTTTGTTGGCTTCCATGGGGCAATACCAAGACGCACGCGAAGTCACGCCGAGTGACGGTAATGAATATATGCTAATATGCCCTTTGTTATTGTTGCCCCAAATTCGACCAACCTGAAAACCATGCACATGAATATGGTCCACAAAAATAAATTCAATGTATAACACAAGTGTTATCAACAACAGATTCAAATAAACTTCGATGATATTAGTTTTCAACTGCCTGTCAAATAACAAGTTGACGTGGGGATTCCTAGATATTGAGATGAATAGATTGTGGGACATTTTCGTGTAAGCGAAGACACAGATAACACCATGATTTGTGAGCAAGGTCAGCTTCACCAGTGACCAAACATCGCATTTCGGCATCAATATCCGTGTTTTTTAATTACATGAAAATTATAAATTACTCTTTTGTTATGATATAACACTTTAATCAAACTAAGCACAGTTTCTGAAAAACATAACTTTAAAAAAGCCATGTTTTGGAGCTGCATGAATTTCAATGCACTGATGAGAATAATCTATGTGGTATTGACACTTTTTACCACTGGAAGAATGGGGTCGTCACCCTGCTCGTAACACTTGGCAGTATACTTATTACGCCTCTTTACCATACGGTGAATATAGAACAAGTGGCGGTGCTTCGGCATGGCACAGACGATTTTCTTATACCTGGACAACCACACAAATGTTTGCTCACAAATCATGGTGTTATCTGTGTCTTCCAGGTGATCCTTTGGATGGTACTTAACCTTACAATGGGCATCCGTATGATTTCTGATGTGTAACCTGTCCACACATTTCTTGAGATCGTACCACATGTGGGACCATGGAGCAGGCAGAGGCAGGGGTGACCTCGCAACAATCATGTTGTCCAAGTGGCACATGTTGTCGTAAACAACTGCCAGGTTCGACCATTCAGTGGCCGGGATGGATTTCAGATGAACGTCGAGCCATGAAAGTAGAATTAGAAACACTTGTGACGGTGATTCAGATCTAAATAAAGAAAGATAAAAGTATCCAAAAAATATACACTGACTGCTTTAAGTTACATTAGATGAAACCTAAATCAACTACAAATATGTGTTTGCTTATGACGATGTACATGAGCACATACATTTGTCAAACACAGACATATTTCATCTTATGAATGAGAGGTTAACCATTTTCTTTGTACTTTATTGATTAACAACTGGGACAGTTGCACAACTGTCACGTGGGTGTGTTCAACCTTTGTTTAAACATAGTTGCAAGTTGCTTATAACCAGCGGAGTAAAATTGTGGCACTGAACAATAAGCATGAGCTTCAAACCATAATTTTTCACGCACTTCATTTCCAATCAGCCAAATTAACAACTTGTTCTCCATGCTACAATGACCCCCAAAAACCCAAACTAACAAATGGATACAGTATCTTTACCAAAACTCACACAAAATTGTATATTCATTGCAATCATGACACTCCTTTTTTGAACTCCTTATTTTTCATACAGTAAGTACATGTAAATGTGTTTGGGAAGGACCCTAATGGATTTCACACCCTATTGTCGTGTAATATTGAAGATCCAAGATTGAATGCAATTATGAACTCACTTATACAATGACCGCCAGAATTCAATGTGTCCTCCAGCACGTACAATGAATAAGTGTCCCCGAGCCCACTTTTGAAGACGTTTTTTGCAACCGGTGTCCTTCTTGCAGGAAGATGGCTTTTCTTCTATACATGCTGCCATGATGCTACTGATATTGGAACTGTGCTGACGAAGAAATGTTGATACACCTGTCATAGAAAAAGATTACTAAAACAGTAATGTATAAAAACTGTGATTTTTTAATTGGCAAAATGTTAACAATATCATCAACGACTCACACGTTTAGGTATGGAAGTCCAATATTTGCAGAATCAGCTTGTATAAGTTGATCTCTTAGGCCATGTTCAGACACCTTGTTAGCTAAAACGGCAAAAGCTAAAACGGTCCCTCACCACGGGAGGCCCATTGTAAAAAAAAACTACCGAGCGTCCAGCCATCGTTTAAGTAAAGCAAGTTCTACTCGAAGTAGTTTATCTCATAAGATGGAATTTTGCGTCGCGGTGATGTTAATCAAATTAGGTTTTGCCCTTCACCGACGTATAAACACTCAGTGTATTACCTCCTGAGAGAAAGTTGGAAAAAAAAAACACTTGGGTGGGACTCGAACCCACAACCTTCTGCTTTCTAATGCAGATGTCTTACCACTCAACCACCAAGCTAACGGGATCGGTTGGCTAGTTCGAATCGGATATACATCGCAGCGGGTACCGCATTAACTATTCATAAAATGGAATTATGCATCGGAGTGATGTAAACCTTCACTCCTCCATTTTTACTGTTCGCTACACGTGCTCTAATCATATAAGCATCTCACCGTCCTGATGTGTGATGCTATGCTGTGTTTGACATCGCAGCCTCAGCCGGTCATGTAGCGTGGCACACGATAAATATGACGACAGTCACTAGTCCACCACGGCAAATTTCCAGATTTTTTGGAAGAATCGTACATCGGCCTTAGGTCTACACCAATTGTGTCTTCATTTAGGGGGTATTTTTGGTACCTTTCGTGGTGCAAAACGATTTTTTTAAACTCTTTTTCCCCCCAACTTTTACTCGGGAGGTAACACACTGAGTATACAGTGTTTATACGTCGATGAAGGGCAAAATCTAATTTGATTTAGTTTATCTCAGTTTCTAAGGTCACGTAGAACATCCGCCTCCGGAAAAACCGCATGCTAAAAAGAGCCTTCACTCTTCCATTTTTATAGTTCGCTACACCTTGTTTTATCATATAAGCCTCTCACTAACGTGATGTGTGATGCAATGCTGTGTTTGACATCGCAGCCTCGGCCGGTCATATAGCGTGGCACACGGTAAACATGACGACACCCATTTTTTGGAAGTGTCCTGTTGCAAAACGCGTAAAAAATTTCAGAAAAGTTGTTAAAATCCCTGAGTGTTCGAAACCACACTGAATAGATTTCACTCACGGTCTACTGCATCAACTGGCCCGCACAACATGTCAGTCACGTGAAAATATACATGACATTAACGCTGCATCATTGATCAATCAACGCTAAGGTTTTCCTGGCAGTTGAAAATATTTCATTATGATAATTACGCACCGATTAGCGGTTGTTGCGTTGGCATACTATGTGTTTTGTCTTAGCATCGCCATTGTGTGCGATCGTGCACGATGTGAAACTCGGACCATATGGTCAGAACATTTGCGGAAATTGGACTTGAAGTTGGATTTGTTTTCATAAATGTCTTAACGGTAGGAGCATTAGGAGATTCATGGGTGCTTTTTGCCCATGGTGCGTTGTTTGTTTAATACAAAAGTGCGCCACGGAGAAGGCGTTACGTAACTCCAGGTCACTGCGCTGGCTAAAACGGGAAGCATTTTAGCTAAAACCGCTCATACATCGTTCTAGGAGATAAACTCATTCTGGTTATTCGCTAAACCCTCCCTCCGAGGGTGAAGTTGCCATTTTATTTTTGAGTTGAACTCGATTCGGTCTAAATAAAAAAGCATTCAGACATCGTTTTACCAAGAAAGTTACACCAAATCGAGTTCAACCGGTGTTTTAAGGAAATTTAAAACAGTGTCTGAACGACCCCACAGTCATAAACAAGGGGTACCGGAATAAGCTGTGTTGAAAAGGTCTATAATCTGTCTCTCGAACAAGAGGGGTTTACAAGAGCAGCACCTGACCCGGGATAATGCCTCCTACTTTGTTTAGTTCAAAGATGCTGTGTCTGCGACACTCCATGTTTTGACATTCCAAATATATATATTTTCCTCCAGTTTTCAGCGTAAGAGGAAAACCAATGCATTGGAATTCCATCCATATGACATACCATCTTTCAGAAAGCATTTAATTCTTTTGACTCACAAGGTTATGTACTGTTTGGTATTTAACTTTGGTTTAAATTAACAATGGAATGAAATTGAGACATACACATACCTTGTGCTTCAATGACCGACCCTACAGATGAAGTACTAGATGGCAAGTTAACAAGCACATCTTCAACACGGCCCAGAGTCTCATCTATGACAGATATAGGGAACAATGTTTTTAAGTAGAATTAGGAATTCTTCGAAATTGTTTTCTTCAAGGATAGTTCCTTTTCAAGGTTTAAGTCCTGCAGAGTTTTTAAAAATTAATTTATTGAAAAAGAGCTTGCTCATGTTTTTAAACTATAGCCTAAATAATAAACCATAAATAACAGTGCAAGATTTTCAATGACACGAACATTTGCAACAGGTTGAAACAGATTGGTGTGCAGCATACAAAATTGCATTTCAATGTAACACACACCAGTGTTATAACAAATCACTTCATTTTCTGACACAATCAGACGTATCGAACTACCTTCATATGCAATTTTGACCCATTCAGACTCACAGTTTTCTCAATATGAGACTTCACAAAAATCCACCTTTATGATAACGCCACATGCCTTACGATGACGTCATCTTGATAACACTTCTCAATGCACATTTTTGCATTGTGATCTTGGTTTGTAACAAGCTCAAGTCAATCCAATGAAAGAAAGTGTTACATTTTGGAAGTGGAATGAAATTGTAAATATTAAAAAAAAAACATAAAAAATCATGCGATGACGTCATGGTGACGTCATTTTGGATTTTGCATACATGTACTAGTACCATTATCTAGCGATCCACCGAGTGTCAGGACGATCGGACTTTCCCTTATATGTGTTTTTAAAAATCGCATTTTTGATGACGTCAGCATGACATTACACATTTTTCAAAATTTTGTACATATACATATTACATAACAAACATAATACAAAAAGAATTTTTGAAAAAGAAAAATCAAAACAAAAAGAAAAAGCCAAAAATTTTTTAAATTCGATTCCATGTAAACAAAAACCCCCAAATTACACTAGAAAAATTGAAATTGAAATACATATAGAAATGAAACTTACTGTCAACAGGGGCATCGGGTGCATCTTCATTAACAACAAGGTCTGGTGCAGGTGTACCAACTATAGAAATTAGGAAAAAATCAACAAATTTAATTCAAAAAATTAAATTTACATCACCTGTAGATATTAAGTGTCATTTAAATAGAAATCATGCTAAGCGATTGTTCGTAATGAAAAGTAGCACTTAAATCAACTAGTGCAGGGCCAGTCGAAAATGTGCATGTTCGGAACAGGCAGTTGAGAACTGACAATGACTGAAGCTCATGAAAACAACGCACATTATTCAATGGTGCTTCTGCAGGGTGAACGCACAATCGCAGGTCAAAGGCACGCAATGTCGTCATCCCCTGGCGCTGATATTTACCCCTACTGGACAATATGGTATCAACCTACAGTAAGAGTTGCTCAGTCAACCGCCTACATACAGTGCAGTGATGGTTGCTCAGTTGAGCTGCCATGCGTGCATGGCAGTTAATACCAGCCATGCACACATTTAATTTGTAACTGTACACGTACATGTATTACTATTTTTACACGCGGTCTCCACTTTCAATATCCCAAACGTGAAGATAAAATTTGAGTCAACTGGAATCAACTCAAGCATTGAGATGAACCAGGGTAAATCGAAGCAAACTAGTGCAATGAAACATATGTCCAAAATGGCCATCCATGTAAGTCGGCAAAATGATGACTTACAGCAGATGTCCGCATTCACGTAATTCGCCACAAATTCTCGGGTCCCGAGAGTACTGACTTAGCCGGACTTTACTGTATTTAAAACATATTTTGAATGTATCATGCGCATTTATGGTCGTTTCAAGGTTCAGATCTTTGTAAAAACACAGCATTACAAGAAAAGTAAATCAACCACACATCGTACAAATCTGAAAGCCAGTGGCTCTCGGAAGTTCAATCATGACCTTTACGCCCAAACTTAACAAGGTCTATACAAGAAGTCTATACCTTCAGTAGCTGCACAAGGGACACCAATCACATCATCGCTGGGGGCAGAGACAGGGCCTTCCTGGATAAAGGATGGTGCCGCTGGAACTTGACTGGTAGCTGCAACTGAAAGAAACACACTCAATGTTTGAACAGAAAGTAACAGACACACCAAAATGCAACAATTAAATACAGCAAGACAAAAAATAAAGAGTGATTGCATACTATCACCAATGAGGATGCAAGAACATTTTCAGCATTTATCAAACATGCACGTACACAATCATTGTTAAATAGAATGGTATTTTGCTTTCTTCTCTTAACTTTAATGACAGATTACGCACAAATAATCCTACGCTATGTCATGAATTTGTTAAATGAAACAAATTATGAACACTGCCTGTGTCTGTTTGGAAAACCTAAAAAATGCTAAATTACAACCACAATTGCAACAGGTTAGAAAGATAAGGGTTCCATGACATTCAGACAGAGTAACAGCTTTGGGAATATCTTGGAAATGTCGCCATTAGACATGGGGAAAAAAAGAAGTCAGATGTGTTGACAAGCACAAATGCCCCACTGAGCCTTATGGTGGTACATGTAGTTTTACTTCACAAAACCAGGTTTGAAAATCCTGAGTGTTTCGCAAGTTATCATACTGACTAGATTTCTACTGTGACTTTGAACTTTCATCTGTCACCCCAAACAGCAACTAACAATGTTATCATGCTGACAAGATGTTTCCAGAAACTCACACATGTTAGTGTGAGCATTCTTTTGTTACTGTGTAGTATAAAAATCATTTTATTTACACAGTGAGAACCTCTTTCATGCCATTTTTTGTAAATCTAGGATTCCCTTGAGTTTATCACTTCATGTTGCAAGTGCCTCTGAAACCGTTTTCCAGAGAGGGGGAAACCTTGTGTGAACGAGGGAAAGTCCACACTCAATGTACATGTGTAATGCTTGTATACCTTTCAGGGGTTTCAAAATGAATTAGAGTAGCATTAGAAGAGCCTTTTCTGTACAAGGAAATGTTTTGGACTCCATAAAAAGTATTATTATTTGTAATTTTTAATTGGGTGAAATACTGCTAAATTGTTCTCAACAAGGCACACCCTTGACCGCAAATGGTGTGGTCTAGAGGGCCATGTGTGAGTGTGACCCTTTCATATGCACATACGTGTGGTCGTGCTGCAACTACACAGAGAAAGAGGTATGCTTATGCACTGTACGTTCATATTTAAATACGTACGTTTGTATGAATGGCATCATCACGCGTAGGGTACCCATATTGCGTATAGGGTACCCATATTGCGTACACGGTACTTGCGGTTGGATTGTAATCGCAGTTTATTTCAAAGCTTCTCTCTAACTCGCTGTGTCGATCGTACTGGTCAGTGGTGAGAAATTCTTCGGTGTTTTTTTTAATGGTTGGAAAAAATGTAGCCAGCGTAACAGTTCAAGTAGCCAGTTGAATTTGACAGTTGCCAGATTATTTTGAAACTCTTGCCCTTGCACATACACACACGAAATTGGTATGCCCCTTGTGTTTTAACATACGAGTAAAATAAACATACAAAGCCTTACCTGCAGTTACTGCATCCACTTTTTTCTCCACACAGTACTGTAAAAATGCACGCAGCACTGTTGGTATAGATTCTTTCTCAGCAAGTGCGCAGTGTTCAGGACAGAAGGCTTTCCCATAGGCTGGGGACTTTGTGCACACATTGGGTAGACTTGGTACAGGGATCCCACACACCTCATTCTGTAAAGACATGAAATATAGAGTAATACATGCATATTGTTCATTATGCATTTAATACTGAACACGATTTTCGCGGCATCATTTGCAAGTCACACTAAAGGACCCAAATGTGTGCTTACATGTCTAAGTAACATGCAATTAGCAATTAAATATGTCAGGCAGCTTCCTTTCTACATTGTATATTGTACGCAAGTGAGGGAAAAAAGCTGAAATCCATAACAAAAAAGCTGAAATCATCTTTAAAGCTGAGATTTCACACCCCTGCATATAACTGTGACTTTCCAACTACTGTGTGGCAGTAACACGAGAAATTTCAACTTTTCAGTTTTTCAATGAATGAAAATATAATAATTCTTGAGCCACAGCGTGATTATATCATTGAAGGCATAAGTACTGTTGTACTACAAACAAAAGAAGATGATTTTCTCAAATTCTTAGGGTATACCAGTAGTTAACTTGCACTTTGTTAAACAATATTAGTGGACCATGATTCTTAAAACTTTCAGAGGCAGAATTTGAAGAATCAATCTTTAAAGGTTCTTAGCCATTGTACATGTTCGTTTGAAAAAGAATGGCCTAGGGGCAACATATAAAAATGTCATTCGTTCAGTAGCATGTTAATACATGAATTAATATAAGCCCCCTGACATTGTGTCAAGGCGCGGAGCTTAGTGGATCAGGCTATTGTAGACACATGAATGCGGTTAGCATTTCGACGGCTTCAATACATTGTTAGCAATTAATTATCATACCTGAAGCTTGAACATGCAGTGAGGAAAACTCAATTTCCAAATTCCATCTGCAACAAAGACTCGTCCACAACCTGTTACATAAACAAATACACAAACTCAATAAGTTACCTTTAACATTTTTAGCCCAACAGCAGCAATTTCAAATGGAAGTCTGCTGATATGAGCCGTGAACAAATTGGGTTTAGCAGGCTTCACACTTCCACATCTGTTGTATTTTGTCGATCCAGCACTTTAATGGCAAAATACTGACAGTAGGCCAAAAAAGACCCTTCAGTTTTAGTCAGCCCACATGTTGCTGTAGACCAGCGAACAAATACCGGTACATAGTTTTTTATTACACATTTTGATAATGTTGGCTACAAATTGCAAATTTTGCTTGGTAGACTAGAATCCTGCTTCTGCATATTTTGAATGTGTTTTTGGAATTGGCTTACAATGAGTCATAAATTTCCTCATATATTTGCATAAATTAAGTCGGAAACTATTTTCAGATGGTATTGTCAGGTTGAAAGTGTGCATCTGGGAGCCAGGCAGAAACAACTTTGGTGTTATATCCAAGTCCAAAACACTTAATAACCATAATGTGCAACAGAGCACACTCATTGGCCTATTAGCAATAGCAATATCTAACCAAAACATAACACACACACAGACCGACGAACAGACAGACAGACCTACACGCATACAGACAGACAGACCTACACGCATACAGACAGACATATAAGAATACACTATAGCAATATTGGATTTCCCCCTCCGGCTTACAGCCAGGGGGATGAAAACAAAATGTCAATAACCTTTAGCATGGCAATTCTTGTGACAGTTGGGATGCTCATAGGTGTTTAGAAGTCGCTGATTTTCAATGGCCTCTAGAACTTTATCGATGTCCGCATCACGTTTCTTCAACTTGAACATGTCCAGCTGGCATAAGTCGCGTAGCTCATTCTCAACCTCTCCAATGAGAAATGCCGAGGACACTTGCTTGGCAGTGAGTCCTATGGAATAGTGTAAAATCATAGGAAAAACAAAACAATTAAAGAAACTTTAAATTGAAGCTGCTCTACCACACTTTAAACAAACATATCACTTTCCAACAAACATAAACAATAACATTTTATTGAGTGGAACAATAAAATTTGTCAGTGGAATACATTTTCCTGTTCAAAAACTACTTCTTCCAAAGAACCTTTATACCATTTTTCATTAGTTTCACAAGGTAACTTTAAAGCCAATTTACTTCATGTTAGTTTACATTCTATGAACAGTTATTTTCTTGCATGGACGTTAATGGAATACATCACAGTAACATTGGAGAAATTAAACCAAAAGAGGAATACATGTATGCATTTACAATATTCTGTTGATGTTGAGACAAGCTAATGACAATTGAACGATGAATAATAACATCATTAACACTCACAGTATGTTACAACTTATCCATTAAATTTTTCAAAGTGTGCAAATTTGAAGAATAAGCAGACAGTAAATTAATATTGCAGATTTGACCTTGCAGTGAGGTCAGGTTGTGCATCTCTCAATAGGACTGATGGTGCCATAAGCACGAACCTTGTTATTGTCCGAGTTGGCTGAGGCTTAGCCAAATATTAGATAATAGCAGCGAGAAAACTTAATGTATGAGGTGTTTTCATTGCAGACAGGTGCTGTTAAATATTCTACATTTATCTATAAACTTACCAGTACCAGATTTTTTGCTCAAATCAAATGCATCGTTGAAAGATTCAGTAAAACCTGAAAAACTGACCCACGAATGGTTCCTGTAAAGAAAAACAAACAAACAAACACCCATAATTATTTTCAATTCAATTACACATAAACATGTATTTAAGGGCACTTACAGAAAATGAATAAGGGAATAAATGTGTGCTTCGGAGGTTTTTATCACTCTGTTTAAGACCACTTAGAGTCTGGGTGCTGATAATTACCCGAGCCGGAGGCGAGGGTAATTATCAGCGACCAGACTCTAAGTGGTCTTAAACAGAGTGATAAATACCGACGGAGCACATATTTATTCCTATTCATAAATACCTTTTCGGTAAGAAAAAAATCATATAATTCGTTCAAAACATCCCGATTTTGTTCAACAAATTCACTTTATGCTTTTTGAAACATCCCTCTTGCAAAATAATGGAGTGTTCAGCTGGCGAGAAAGATGTAAACAACCCTTTTATGGAGATTGACGCGCGCGTATCATGTTCTGCGCGATGTCGCGCAGAACGCACCTGAGGCGTTGCGTTTTGAATTTTGAACTATAAAATTATGACTCCCTGGTAGTGTTGCGCATGCCTACGTGAGGATTGTGAACGTTCAACCAATGAAACGATAAGAGGCACTGGATTTTTGGGAGTCCACATTTTTATTGTGACACTGGAAAAGTGTTTAAGACCAGCTAGCCATGTCTTTATCATCCGTTTAAGACCGGCCACGTGACGGGCTCTCGACCAATAGGAATGCGTAAACTGTCTTAGGTATTTATGAATAATAAATAAAGACTACACAGGGGTGAAATTACAGAAGAACATCAGGCATTTACCTGTATGTTCGGTCAAATTCACTAAACAATACCGCTTGTTAGGGATGTGGTTTGTGTGATGGGCCCTACCATTACCAAAATATCAGCTTCCCGTTAACAAGATGGTGGCCGACATTAAACAAACAGACTCGAATTGGGAAGAATTACATACGTGTACTATGCCACAACTTACAATGTAACTGCCGCTAAACACATCAATTTCAACCTCACCTTGTAATTTAAACCGACAAAAATACAGTAAGCTCCATCGATGTTAATAATTTTTAGGAAACATGTGTTTTCAAACCACAATTTGGATGCACACGTCGTGCAAAACTAAGTTCAAGGCACCAGGCCATAGTGATTGAAGTGTCTGGAAGTACATGTATAGTGGTACGTTACATACACAAGATATCAGCAACGCATGAGCAGGCCAATGATAGTGCAACACTCCATTAGGAATACATGTATATGTAATTTCTCTGGAATATTTATTGTATTTAATATTCATTAGTCTTGCTTCAATGGATACTGTATATATATCCAAGGATTGATTATTGCAACAAGGGATCGTGCACGGTATAGTGGTCAAAGTGCTGGGTATCAAGCAAGCGTCCGAGCCACTCCGAAGGTTCGAATCTCGATGAAGTAAGTTACCGATTTATAAATATGAAGGAATAAAGAAAAGAGGAGAGGGTGAGAGATGAGAGTAGAGGAGGGAAAGTGGAGGAAATAACCATAAAGTATGCACTATTAGGTTTCCAGATTTCTCATTCTTTTGCAAATTTTAACATTACATATGTACATGTATAGTTCTGGGACATGTGCTTTACTTTTTCATTGAGTTTTTTTTATTCCTATCCTGACTCACATAGCCTGTGTAGGCTACTATGGTGCCCACAGACTTGTTTTATTACATGTCAATCCTTCAGTTAGGGGATTAGTGTCTCCCACTTCCTTGGTAGCTAGAACTTTTTTATTGTGTCATGAATATTCAGTACATTAATTTCAAATAAGCTTTACTTTTTCATTGAGATTGTTTGGTTCATATCCTGACTCACATAGCCTGTGTAAGCTACTATGGTGCCCACAGACTTGTTTTATTACATGTTAATCCTTCAGTTAGGGGATTAGTGTCTCCCACTTCCTTGGTAGCTTAGAACTTGTTTATTGTGTCATGAATATTCAGTACATTAATTTCGAATAAGTTTTACTTTTTCATTGAGATTTTTTGGTTCATATCCTGACTCACATAGCCTGTGTAGGCTACTATGGTGCCCACAGACTTGTTTTATTACATGTTAATCCTTCAGTTAGGGGATTAGTGTCTCCCACTTCCTTTGTAGCTTAGAACTTGTTTATTATGTCATGAATATTCAGTACATTAATTTTGAATAAGCTTTACTTTTTCATTGAGTTTTTTTGGTTCCTATCCTGACTCACATAGCCTGTGTAGGCTACTATGGTGCCACTACACTTGTTTTATTACATGTTAATCCTTCAGTTAGGGGATTAGTGTCTCCCACTTCCTTTGTAGCTTAAAACTTGTTTATTGTGTCATGAATATGCAGTATATTAATTTCTAATATGTGTTTCTATTTTAGTAATTTTTTTACAGACTTTAGTCCTAATTGAGTGTATTTAAAGATCCACTATTCATGCTGCAATGCCCCTTTTTTCACCAGTGTTTACGCCCCCCCCCCCTAATATTTTGTAAAGAGTGCATTGTTTTTAAGAAGTGCCGTTTTTTCCTGAACAAGTGCCATTTTAAAAAAAAATCATGCCCTATTTTGTCCCATCTGCCGTTCCTGGCTCCTATTTTTTAATTTTGCACCTGTATTGCCGTGAAAAGCACCACATATTGCCCATTAGTGTGCACAATCGTCGGTTTTGAACAGCACCCAGATTGTGCACACTAATGGGCAATATGTGGTGCTTTTCACTTGTCCAGGGTCATTTGTCAGGATCACTTGTCAGGTTAAAATCTTATTTCTACACGTTCGTATGGGTCTTCATCGACAGCACATTTCGTCGAAATGACACATCCTGATTAGATTTCTAGGCTAGTAGTACTAGTACTAAACGAAAGTACGAAATTATGTATGGCGGATTGCTTTCGCCATGTTCGAAATGCCATGTTCGAAACAGCGTGGCGTTGTATACAACGCCACGTACCGACCCACCCCTTACAAGCTCGCCCCCTGCCTGACTCGCCCCCTAGCCGACTCGCCAACTCGCCTCCTAGCCGACTCGCCCCCTGACCGACTCGCCTCCTGACCGACTCACCCCCTGGAAAATTATGCACCGTACGGGGACATTGTGAAATAAAAATAAAGACAGTGTCGGGAACACGTTTCCCGGTCGCAACGAAGGATTTCCGGTACAAATGCAAAAAAACTATTGATCCTTTTACGAAGAATTTGGGTTGGAAACACTTAGCACAGCTTTACCGATATAGCGCAGCGTGATTTTTCGCCGAGTGCCCGTGGCATAGGGCCCGTGGGTTCACGGTGACTGCCGGCGCACGGCAGGCCGGTACCGGTGGGTGCCGGCGCGAGGCAAGTTTACCCGCATTCATCGTTTGTCAATGACATTAAATCTCTACTCTGGGTCCTCAGTTTCATTAAAAAATATGTTCAGAATGAATGATGTATATTTGAAAAATCAAATCGTCCTGCTGCATTCAACAAGAATAACATATTTAATAAGTAAATGCAAACTTTTAGAAAACCTTTTTCTTTGCGAAAAGAAAACTTTTTATGCACGTCCAAATAAAAGTCTTTGAGGTGACTAAGCGAATGGAGTTAACAAATTTAGGGAGTTGATCCAGATATCGGATTTCCCTCGCGCGTAATGTGGAGGGCAAGGCATTTTGGTTTGAATTGTTGTTATTTACCTTGCGCCAGCCTTAAAGCTATAGTCCATCATTTGCAGCTATCCAAAAAGTAATTGACGTAATAATTGTTGAAAAAACAGGTTGAAGGATAATAAGGGGACTAAACTCCCTGTGAAATTATTCTCCTCCCTTGAAATGCAAAACTGATGCCCCGCTCGCATTAAGAAAGATTGTTTGACCTTTGCGACCGGGCAAACGGTGTTCCCCGACACTGTCTTTAATTTTTTTTTTTCACGATGTCCCCGTACGGTGCATCATTTTCCAGGGGGCGAGTTGGTCAGGAGGCGAGTCAGTCGAGGGGCGAGTCGGCTAGGAGGCGAGTTGGCAAGGGGGCGAGTCGGCTAAGGGGCAAGTCGGCCAGGGGGCGAGCTTGTAAGGGGCGAGTCGGTCAGGGGGCGGGTCGGTCAGGGGGGGAATCGGTAAGGGGCGAGTCGGTAAGGGGCGAGTCGGCCAGGGGGCAAGTTGACCTGACACCTTCTGGGACATCGTACATGACAACTGCCCCGAATGATAGTTATGATAAGTTGATTTGTAATGAACGCTTATAATTATAGATAGTGGATCTTTTGCCGGAGGTAATGACGGCAAACTAACGTTTACTAATGGTTTGCCAGCGGCAATCCATATCAACAGAGGGCGCTGTACTCTCTAGGATAGGGCTGAATTATAAGATGTATTAAATTCCCACCAAAAGTTGTGTAGCACGTTTGGTGTAGTGGTTAAGCAAAGGCTCTAGTAAGCGGGATGACTCGGGTTGGATTCCGACCGCAGCACATTTTTAAGTTTTTTTTTCTCATCCCCAAATAAATAAGAATATTCTTCTTTTATTATTTTAACATGTCTCAAACATTTTTTTGCAGAGTATTACATTTTCTTTTTCAGATTTGTGGCTCTGGAGGGTTTTTTTTTAAAGGGAAATAAAGTCCGAAATTATAAAATGGTCTGAATCCCATCTTGTGAATACGAGGTTACAACGATATTCGAAACGAAGTCCAAACCAACTACCCTGTTGGCGGCTACGCGGTCACGAAGTGGGAGTGCAATGGAGCATGACGCATAGTACATACAAATAGCGCTGAGAATGTTTATTGAGGTCAATCAGCCGTGACCTCGTAGCCGGCTACGAGGTGGATAGATTGAGTGGCGGGGTATTCTGCAATTGTGCCCCATAATTATATAATGACTTCAACTTTCAAGAATTTAATTTCAATTGTACGTTAAGAATTAAGAATTCAACTTGGTTTTTTTTTTTAGAGCAAATCATTTTGGGAATCATTTTTGGCAAACAACTGTCATGACTGTAGTGTAGGCACATGCGTAATAACATGATGATTTGCAGCATATATAATCAGGTACTTACGCAAGGCAGCACTGAAAGTCAAACAGCTCCCTACTGAAGAAAACAGAATCATTAGCCTCAATGGATGGCCGTCGTTTCCCTTCGTACAGCTGCCAATAAGTTGCGTCGCTGCCGTACTCGTTCCAGTTATAAACGGTCTTGCACGAACGGCACCTCAGAGTTACTTTCTTCGCCCACTGCAAGCCACGTAACGTGAAGTACTTCACTCTTGTGATGGGATGGTGTCTCGTGAGGTGCTTGTCGCAATGAATACAGTACGATACAGGTGGAGCGAAAAGTGTCGAAATGATGTTGGAGTTCGATACGTTGGTCGAAGAGGAGCTGGAGGTTGAACAAGAGCTGCTATCTTGTTGAGCTGGGATAGGATGCAAAATATTCAGTAGTGCTGAACACAAGTCCAGATCGGCAGATAGGCCCTCCGACAATAGCACTGGGTCTTCCACTCTACTCTCTACAACACAATCTTTCACCCTTTGCACTTCTTCAAATGAAAATTTTGCAACCAATAGCGAAAGTTTGTCAGAGACGGACAGCGTTTTCGCCTTGGCGAAGTTTGCCACGTTACTCAGCAGAGGATTTCTGGCCGTTAAATATGTTGAAATGATACTGTCCTTATGGCGTAAGTCTGTCAAGAAATCAATTACATCTAACTTCTTCTTCTTAGACATGGCATCGTAAGGAAAGAGTAATCAAAATAATTGATAATGTAAGAATAAAATTACTTTGAAAAAAAACCAGAAGATGAGACACGAATCTACGAGTACGAGAGAAGCACGATGAAGACAGAATGACACGCGATGATTCATGCCGCGCGACGGATAATAAAGACGCTGGTAACCAATGGAAAGAAAGTACATTGTGATGCGGACTGCGTCCCTGGTACTTATTATTTAGACTGTGTTCCCGCCATATGTATTAAGAGCATGCATTATGAGCAGGAAACCAGATTTAACATCGAAGGTTCTTTTGCGCATGCTCAGTTTCGTGTCGACGTGTATGTAGACTACACGATACAACGGTCAGTTCACGCCGTCCCATATGTTACCCCAAATGGTATACACACAAAGAAGCAATATTGGTGACATGGTCCAACATCTTCATGACTTAGCTAGGGGGGTGTTTTGGACTTTTAGTTTTTACAAAATGGTCTTTCCTTTTAGGGTAAACATCTTCTTCCATAAAATTCCTAAACTGCAATAAACAAAATCTCTGCCATCTGGTTTAATAGAACAGGAGGCACAGCGAGTTACCTTAAGTGATGCGTAGACAGTTTGTGAACGAGTGCAAATGCAGCCTCTTTCCCGACGACCAAGAGGAACGTCACGCATATATCATGATAACCCTGCATAGACATAAAAGAAGAGAGACAGAGGTTATGTTAGAATGGTTGAAGGAAACGTACATTGCGAACAGATCACAAGAACTAGGGAAAAAATATTAACCCTCTTATTAACCCTCTATTAACCATCATGACTTGGACCTGACGCCATTGAATCGTTACTCACAAGTCACTAAAAAAATTTCAACTTTTTGAGAACATAATTCCGATGTTCATTTTCCGAAAGTTAACGTTAAAGCAACGCTAAAGAACGTTAAGCACACGAAACCGTACCACACCACTTTCAAGGTGTTATTACAAATAATAAAAAACATTTGTTATTAAATTCCCACGACTGGATTTGATTCATTTTGTTGATAGCACCCTCTCCCACTGCAACGACTTGGCTGCACTTTACCAGGGAGGAACTCACTGATAAGTCGGCCATTGTCAAACATTCCCACATCAACGACCACAAAGTTGATTGGGATGCGGCCGAACTCATCGCACCGATCCAGTTCTGGCATCCAAGACGCATACGGGAAGCCATCGAGATCCGCAAGCACAACACAGTTCCGCAAGACATCGGGTTTCACCTCAACGACATCTGGCTCCCACTTCTCCAGACTGATGGGTCTCCTATACCCTAGGTCCTCAGCTACCACCTTAGACTGATGGGTCTCCTATACCCTAGGTCCTCCCTCTACTGACACTGCAACCCTACTGCATAGCTGCCAACATTTCAAAATCCCAATTAGTAATCAACCCGTGCGGTCATTTTCAACTTCTCGTTTTATCAAAAGCTTTACCAACATCGAGTACAGGTACATGGTTTACATGTACACATACATGTGCATACCCTTCTTGTTGTGAATAATAATGTACTGTAGGCCAAAAGATAATTTTAAAAAAAAATTATTTTTTTTTTTTTTTTTTAATTAATTTTGTTTTAATTTTTAATGTCTGTATTTGTTTGTTGAAGTCAAATAAATAATAACATCAATAACATGTGCGCATATTTTTTTGGAGATGCATGCTATCGATGTTGAGTTTCGAGTTCGTATCATGTTTTTACACACAATGATCTATGGCCACCGTATGCAATAGAAATATCCCGCTAACATACCTTGCAAACGCATGCTGATTTATCTTTTCTGTCCGTTGTGACAAACTCAAACTCTATTACCAATTATTCCAACCATACTCTTATTAAATTCCATGATTAAAATCTCGCACTGATTGGTCTCATCCCGGCAATAAGCGACTTAATGTGCTCACGATCGTCACTGAAAAGTACGCACATACAGTACACACAACCCCACATCCACGAGATGCACACAAATGACACACCATTGAAAAATATTTTAAGTCTGGTCCTCAAGTACTCCACTGCGCACACTGCATTGATGTCTATCAGGTGCTTGACTGCATTCTTATTAGACTTGTCACCAGTCCATCCATTATCGCGACATTTCGCCAGAAGTTTTCGGTCAAAAACGATACTTTACATTATTTTTTTTTTCGTTAGGTAGAAAATGGGAAATTCGTAATGTTTTAGTGGCAAATCGTATTTTCGTAATTTAACAAACAATTCGTAATAATTACGAAAAAATCGTACTAGTTGGCAGCTATGCTACTGTTCCACTTCAGTGGGCACCAAGCTTGTTCTAGGATCCTGTCTACTTGGCATCCTCACAGGATGCAACTTCTCACTTCAATGACTTCGCCTTTTGCTACTTAGTATTCACTTTCTTAGAGTTTAGGCACTCTCCTGAAGGCGGTCAGAGCATACTGACCGGAACGTCGAGTTTATACCTCTGGTTCTTTTCAGAACCATTCTCTTAGTTGAGAAATTATTCGCACATGGTGTTTCCGCAAACCTTTCATTATTCATTATTCACTGATAAGGCATACTTAGGCCCGGTCCCTATTACACGGCTATGGCTAGCACTTCACACTCGTCTATAGTGGCCGAATTCACTTCCTATTGACACGTGTGCAATTGCAGCCGTAAGCCAAGTATATTCTTACGCAGCCTTACCTGATAGTAATGTAGCTGCTCATTCTCCATGAGGACCCTGACGATAACATCAACCAGCTGGCCTTGTAATGCTTCCCTCTGATCATCTCGCATGCCTGCAGAGAGAATATTTTGGAACAACGTAACTGCATGGTACATGGTTAATTTTCTTAAAGTCTCAACCTATTATTCCTATTAAACAGTGTAAACGGAATGGTAACAAAACTACACCACGCAACGTCTGCTTATCGATACATCAACAAAACATACATTTCTGCAGTAATGAAGGCATCAATGTGCTCATTTCCATCACACTGAGAACTGTTACAAAATTACACATATCTTGCCTCTATTTTGATTTGCAAGTCACAGGGATGTCAAGTGTTTTTTTTTTTTTTTAAAGGTTTTCAAGACTATTTAGTCAACACCTTACATCAACATGCTGTTTTAACTAAAAACTTTAATGACAAAATAATCCACCAACTTGTTGGCCTAGTACTTTAAGTTTTTATGTATTTAACATAAATAAAAACAGTTTCAGTGGTGGAAGGAAAACACAGGAATCACATTTCTAGGAAAATCCCACCTAGATGTAATTTAGGGACCAATTTACAGACCCAATCAACATGAAGGTCTAGAGGGGATTCGAACCGGGGTCACAACGTTGGAAGGCAAGGAAAGTGCCACTAAGCCAACCTGGTTTACTTAGTTTTGTGTCAACTGCTCTATAGTCACTGATGACTCTTACCTTTTGGAAATCGCTTGAGTGACCTGTTCACGTCCAGCACAACTTGGTGATAGTCTCTGTGGGATTCTAGTTTGACTCCTAAAACCAGAAGTAACAATTAGATTTACAACTTTATTTATATGACAGCGGGTACTTCAAAGGAGAGGTACATTGTAGAAAGAGTACTCCCGGGGCATTTTTTCCTGGGAACCTCCCCATGTCATATCCACAAAACTGTTCCACTTTATACATGTAGGAATCCACGGCAGGATCTTTGTATTTATACTTTCAAGGTGATGTCATCAAGCCCACGTACATTGTGAAGTAATTGTGGCTGGGCTGTTTAATGATCAGATGGTGATTGTGTAGTTACGGGCCCCTCTTACGTTTTAGTCCTTAAGAGTGTTTTTATCATTCCAAAATTACTCCTGCAACCTTAAGAAGTCTTCGTTTAATACTAATGACTCTCCTTTTTTTTGTGGTAATTTTAAATCAATCTTTTGGTAAAAAAAAATATTTTCTTACGTATTTTCAGTTGATGCCATACAAAAGCAGTTGATGCCATATAAATCAATGCAGTTTTGCAAATTCAAAGTGCATCGCGTTGCTGGCGGTCATCTTTAGTTTCATGGTTTGTCATCTTCATCTTCGTTTTACCCGAAAATTTCCCTAAAAGAAAATCAAAATCCCGCCCTCTACCTGTGACACTCATGTTGCTTTTAAATTATTTGTTGGGTGAGTTTAAGAACCTCTCTCAGGAACGGGGCCCGTAACTACCCAATCGTCGATGAGATGAATTCTAAGATTGTATAATTGTGAAGCGCTTTGAGACCTTTGGTATAAAGCGCTATATAAGCACTATATTATTACATGTATTATCATTATTATTAAGATACATGTGGATAGATTGCTCTAATTTTGAAACTGCTTACGTATTCTGCTCACCTTTTTTGTAAGGGACATCGAACAGGTTGACATTGAGGAGTTTGGGCCACGCCTTCCTGCGCACATCATCAGTCAGTAGACCCCCTTTACTGATGGCAAGCTTACGTAGCGCGGCCACGTCCACAGGGTCAGCCGTCAGGGCCTTGTGGATGGTGGCAAGTTTCAGTTTGCGTTCCGACTCTGTGCCTGTAGAATAAATAAGGGGATAATAGTGTGAAAAAGCAGTTTTAAAACGTCTGGTTTAAAACCAGTTAGGGGCCTGGTCACTGATAGTGGCCCGAGCCATACCTTTTTGGCCAAAAACTTCAAAAACATCGAAACATTGACAAACTTCTGACTATGTCTTGTTCATCAATTTTACTCCATGTTCGGGCTACTTCTGCGGTGCGCATCACGCGAACGTGGTTTGTTCAACATCTCATGCTCCTTTTGATATGGAGATCATGGGGTGTTGGACTGGTTGTTTCAGGTGCCAGTCTATTTTCTTGTATTGCATGTTTTCAATACCTTACGTTTTGGGACTCTCATGCACATTGTTGAGAGTCCCAAACTGGATTTTGATTTTCCTTTAATACAGCCCGTCTCTGCCTTGGCGGTAGAGGATGCTATCAACAAGATAAATCTAATCCGGTCTTGGGAACTTTGGCAGTGCTACCCAGGACTTCCAAGCATATGTCGCGCACCGCATGCAAGTACGGTACGATCTTGATACATGTATTTCATGGGTAGCCCTGCCGATGTACCAAGGAACGCATTTGATTCATCTTGTAGATAATGTCCTCTACCACCACGACAGCATTACTGGGCTTGTGAGGGACCATTTGGGGAGTAATATCTATATCCAGTTTGGACCCAGCCAATAACACACCTTGAGGGGGGCAACGGAGTGCCTGAATGGAGGGTGATGAGCTTGATGACAGCGACGAAATGGAACTGCTCCTTGACGGGGATGGAGAAGGGGTACTGGTCCTGCTGTGGTCTTGGCCCGGACTCCTCTGGGGCCGCCGCCGCCTCACACTCATAGCTGATGATGGCCAGACATCAGACTACTGTTGGAATATGGGATGTCTAACTTAGTCAGCAATTACCCCTGCGTATATAAGGCTAGTCCGAGTAACTTGGACCCAACTTATCGCCTTTTTTAACATTTTGACATGGTCTGGCGATAGTGGGGTCCAAGCTAATACCGCGACCTGGACAACATCATCCTGTCACTGTCCCAAAAACCAACATTTTCCAACAAAAAACATCAGATTTCACCTTCAAAACGGCCTCCAAATTACTAGATATGCCACCTGAGGTACAAGTAGACATCGATAATTAAGATGGTTGTACTGAAGTTTACTTACGATCCGGGAAAAAAGTGAAATTTTCCGTCCATTTCGGAGAGCTCCCCTCGCGATCTTGAACACGTTAAATTTCCGATCGTGTTTAATGTTTGAACGACGCGATTTCTTCTACATGCCCAGCGTACATTCGATGGTCCCCGTATCCCGAGTGCGATTCCGTTACCGAGCGCGCATGATGCATCGATTATGATAATGAGTCACGTTTGTAAACACATACATGTGCATTTCGAACTGTAAAAGAGAATCGGGAACCAGGTTGAACTGGTATCCGCCATAAAAGCTGCGCTAGTTCCCGACTCCCTATTATCGTTTGAAATGCACATGTGTTTACAAACGTGATCCAGTCTACTCATTATCATAATCAATGCATCGCACGCGCTCGGTAACGCGTAAAATTTAACGTGTTCAAGATCGCGAGGGGAGCTCTCCGAAATGGACGGAAAATTTCACTTTTTTCCGGATCGTAAGTAAACTTCAGTACAACCATCTTAATTATCGATGTCTACTTGTACCTCAGGTGGCATATCTAGTAATTTGGAGGCCATTTTGAAGGTGAAATCTGATGTTTTTTGTTGGAAAATGTTGGTTTTTGGGACAGTGACAGGATGATGTTGTCCAGGTCGCGGTATTAGCTTGGACCCCACTATCGCCAGACCATGTCCAAATGTTAAAAAAGGCGATAAGTTGGGTCCAAGTTACTCGGACTAATATAAGGCCAGGTCCACATTACTTGGCTATGGCTAGTGCCACACGCAATGACACATCTATGGATTCACTTTCGATAGGCCTATATGCAATTGCCAGCCAAGTAATTTGCACTCCAGTATGAATATGCTTCCACTCTAAAATATAATTATGTGCAATTCTTGTGCGATTCATGTGCGTTTTTTTTTTCGCTTGCCTCTCCCCCCCCCCCTCCACCCCATTCCCTTGACATATATGCTTGATAGCTGCCCGCCACAAGGCCTTGCAAGCCATGGCCAAGCCTTGGCCCAGCCTCATCACAACCCCCCCCCCTCCCCCGCACTACACCTCATCACAACCCCCCCGCACTACACCTCATGACATACTCACGTAATATGCGCAGAGCAAACATCGCTGGATTTTGTTGTTTTTTTGGCTAAAATGATGAAAAATATGCCCTTTCCGCACTGAGCCAACCTGACACTTGAAACGTGCACGCATGTGATCGAGCGATGATTTTCGGTTCGCTCGGAGCACGCCGCGGGGGGTACGGTACAAGCGAAATGATAGTATGCCCCATGCGTTCAAGTGCTTGTACCGTACCCCCTGTGGCGCGCTCCTAGCGAACTGAAAATCATCGCTCGATCACATGCGTGCACGTTTCAAGTGTCAGGTTGGCTCAGTGCGGAAAGGGCATATTTTTCATCATTTTAGCCAAAAACCAACAAAATCCAGCGATGTTTGTTCTGCGCATGTGAGTATGTCATGAGGTTAGCCCAGGTTGGACGAAGTCTTCATTGCAACGTAGGGAGGAAAGGGAGTCCACCAGGGCTAGTCATGAGGTGTAGTGCGGAGTTTGGGTGCAAACTGTGCAGCGGTTCTGTGGGAAATGTCTGCATTTTGATGGACTTTTTGTACTTAATTAGTGTTTTGTGCTACAAACAATTTTACGGGGTTCTTAATCTATGAGGCTCCACTACGTGGAGCCTCATAGCTCTAGGAGTATGTGCTACCGACGTCGTGCGTCCTGGCACTGCCACCCCCCATGGCCACTACACTTACCATGGAGGTAGAATTGATTTAACCTCCATGCACTCACACAGCTGCACTGCCGGCCGCGCACATCTTTGCTGAACAAGAAATTAATAACAAAACATAAACACTAAACAGAACGAACATTCACATCATCAAGGGATATAACTGTTTCTGTTAAACACTTAACTAGCTTTACCTTGAAAGACTTCCGAAAAAGGTGAATTTATGCTTCTAAATAATGTCAGGAACGAGGCACACTCTCTGACCAGCTGACACGTCCTTTACGGAGCAAGTAGTCACTAAAAATAGAAAGCGCCCTCAATATTATCCACATATATATATTCAAGGTCATCAATATCGTTCGTTTCACACATGAATTTGGATATCGATCTATCGATCAATCGTAATCATAAATCTGTACATTTTAACAACCATGAACGTACCGTCAGCAAAAAAAACGTTATTTGTGTTTCAAAAATTGTGCAAATAATCAACTGCAGATATATCAATGTGTTTAAATTAATTTCCTATGGGGATGGAAACGGGGGCGGGGACTTGCGGAAAATTATGCCAGGCATATGTCGGAAGGAATGTTTCAGGTCAAGCCCACCACCAGTCTAGCTAAAAATATTACCAATAGACTAAATACATGTACCACTATTATATTCCTCATTTAATTCGTCAGCAGTGTTTGGGCAGGGCAAGTGTAAAAACAACTGCAACCCATGGGCAACCAGCCCCCTCCCCCTTAAAAAAAATTGAACCCTGGGAAGATCAAAGTGGGTAGCTTTTGCAAATACATGTACATTGTACATGTCTTGATTCATGGATTCAGACGTTTGTCATTTTGTGCATTGACTGCAACGCTACCCCACCCCCCTCCCCCAATCTTGAAATTTTCTGACTAACCACCCCCACCATCCCTTTATCCCCTTTTGGAAAAAAATCTGAATTCACTGGACAACTCTGAAGCGTCCTGTATTAACTTAAAAAAAAAAAAATGCCATCACCACGCAGTAACTCTTGTCCATCATTACGTCAAAAAGCTAGCATGAAACTAATACTTAGCATATCTCATACTATTTATTGTGAAACTTTTTGATTGGATTTATGTCTGCAGTTGGAAGTATAACAGTATACAAATGTAGAAGCAAAATAACTTTTGACAAAAATTGGGGTTTATTTCTATCACCTGAAATGACAAGAAAAGTAAAGAAGTCTACAATGTATTAATTAAACCATGTTTAATACAAACATCAAAGATTTCTTAAACACAATAAGTTATAAACCCGAAAAGAATGTCATAGGCTACATTTCACAAGTTCAATGTAAAACTCACACAGTTACATGGATTGTTTTGTAAAAAAAAGAGTTAAAATTAAACAGTAAATATTTTAAACTCCGGAACTTGGTTGATAATGCTTTACCAGTATACATGTACACAATGAACAAGCATTGACTGTATTGAGTGGTATGGTAAAACTAGCCTCCCGAGGTGATTTTGGAGTGTTGTTTTCCTGAGGCGTAGACAAGGGAAATGGAATGCTCCAAGGATCATCGATGGAGGCTAGTTTTACTACACCACAAGCTAAAGCAGTCAATATTTTATCTTAAAATGCCTGACCCACAGATTCTGTTTGATTTTGAGAGTTTACTGATTAATTGAACTCAAATTCATTAAAAAGAATGTACTTTTTTATTCAATACGATTTTACTTGAAAATTTACTTGCACTTTTCCAAACTGCCCTTTCATTTAATGTTTGAACCCAACTCACTGGAACCACACACATGCCTGTACAGGGTATTTTTAGTCAAAGTCCAATAAATGGACAATGCCATGGTTGGTTGGTTTTCTCTTGTATGCTTGACAACAACTGATGACTGGTCTTTCATAATAGATACCAAGTAGAATTTTTGAAAAGCACACTTGACAAAAATCGACATTTTAAAATTGGTGATTTGAGTCCCCAGCGCAGTTGGCAAATGGAGGCGAGTTCATATTTAAGCATTTCTGTCCCTAGTGGATTGATAGTATGATCCAATTTTTTTGGTAGATAACAACCAAGACACATAGCATTCTTACCATGCATAATAAGAAAATTTATGCATTCAGGTTTGCTTGAATTTGGGAAAAAAGGAGAGTGGAGCATTTTTTTTGGGACACCCTGTATTCATGTGCACACAGACCTCCGGTTGCTATGTTGGTTGCTATGTGTAAAGTACTTTTTCAGTTGTTGTTTAGTTGTTTTGGACATGCACGGCAAAATAGTAAAACTAATGTCATGTGACCTGCTCTCTGCCAATCAAAATACAGAATCTGTAGGTAAGGCGCTATGAAGTTTATATCAGATACGTTAACAACAATACGAATTCCGGCCTACTTTTCTAACAACAATTTTCAATGGTAAACAATGTAAAATGAAAAACAGGTTCCTTTAATTTATGAAGTAGACACACAATTTCATTTTAAGCCACGTTTCAAGATAGCCATGATGTATAACCACCAGGATTTTGGACTAGAAATATAATGTCACTGGATAAATGGGGAGCCGAAACAAGTGATGAACCATCTGTGCCGTAACATTCAAGTCAAAATTGCAAACATTGTTTTCCCCTTTTTTGTGTGGCCCTTCCATGGATTTGGTAAATCGTTAATAACTTCTCAAATAAATAAAAACTGTAATGATAACTTAAGAAAAAGAAGAAAACCAATTGGAAAAAAGTCAACTTGCAAAATCAGCATGTAAAACAAAAATGTGCAAAGAAAATTCAGATTTCAAATAAACAAATTTTGGGGAGTTCTAAGCTAGGAGAAGGGTTCACCTGTATTGTCTCTTGACCAATTAGTGACCCTTTCAGTACCACACCTTCAGAAACACTGAGAAAAAAAAATACATCTACCCAACGCACATGTGCACAGGATATTTTTGGTGAAATGTGTGCACATGGTACTGAAAAGGTGACGGGGGAGAGCTGGTTATGTACAAGCAAACGGGGATAAATATCCGGCTGTACAAATGAGGATAAGACCAACGCAGCTCAGTCTGTGGAACTCTGGATCACAATCAGAAGGTACTCCTTGTCTGTAACCAAAAAAGAAAAGAAAATAAGAATGAGACATAAAAGTAGTGGGATTAATGTGTTTGGGGCCATTCAGGATAGGGCTCGCTCAATGACGGCCATCTCTGTAGGAGAACTGCAACTGCGTATTTTACGCAATCAAGCACGCATTGCACAGTGTTGAAAATGTTCCAAACACGCGCACTTGTTGCTCGAAATGTGTTCAAAATACGACGCAGCTGATGCGCATTATGGAGGTTCACGCTCGAACTGCCGAAGCACGTGGCTGGTCTGTAGGAAATGACGTCATTTTCAATCTTTCAAACTTTCAATCTTTTTTCAATATTGTTTTGACCCACCCACCCAAAATTTCTGAATGACTATTCAATACACTAAAGAACAAAGTAATGCTTCAAATGAAGCAAATACTGTAGGTCAATGCTCTCCCAGCTTGGGAGTTTGCAATGGCTTTTCCCGGCTTCCAGCGTGCAATTTTGTAGCTGAAACAGGAGGAAGAGGAAATTGCCAAGTGCACAAAACTTTTTGTAATGTTTTTCAGTTTTCTAGGACAATGTATTAAAAAAAAAATGAAATAAAATGGTGATTTTGGTTTCGTTGTCATTACATGTAGCTTTTGCCGTGTCCAAAAGTGTTGTTGATCTTGCGGGATCTCGCACAATAATACAAGCGTGATGGTGGCCATGTTTATCGCCAAAAGCCTGTCAGCGCTGCACTAGTCTTCAATTCAAGCCCGCTTTTGATTAAACAAGGATTTCTGCAAACTTACTAATAGCTCAATTTTGAGAAAGAGCTCAGGTGTCACCAGTGCCTTTGGATATTATCTTTGACCAAGACTGGATTTGGAAATATTGTTCCCCAGCAGCAGCTGGCAAATACGGCCATGCCCTTGGCAGTAGAGGGTGCCTTTGGAATTTTGGCATGTGCGAGATATGCTCCGAGTTGCCTGGTTCTGGGTGCACAGATTCCCAAAACTGGATGGATTTGATTCATCTGGATTTGAATCAGCTTTTTGTCAGGGACCGGATCAAAAAGAGGACCAAAATCACTCAAGGCACACTCAAGGGCCATGCAAGGGTGCGAACGTTTAGCTCACCCTGGTCGACACGGGTCAGCCCCATGCCATTCGATAGGCTCTGACGTCATTCTTGGGGTTTAACCCGGGTCAGCCACCACAGACCCTGCTCGTGGAGCAGAGTCAGTGGTGGAAGTACATCACGCATGCGTTGTTCATTCCCTAGAAATGGACAAATATGGCGGCCGAACAGCTGGAATCTTAAGTGGAATTAAAACCTGACTTTATTTGAAGTCTAAAGGTAATCTTTTTTTGAGTCCATTGCGACTTTTGAGGCTATAATTTCAGCCCAACTTTTTTGAGTTTTGCAATCGACTAAAAAGCAGTCAATCTTAACCAAAGATCCAATCTGAAACGGGCATTTTGTCAGTGGTTAGGCTATAGCTAGGGGCATCACGTGAGGATCGTGATGGCATGCGGTTGACCGTTCGATTAGCCTGGCTGTCATGGCTGACCCGTCTGCCTCTACCTGTATCAACCCGGCTGAGCTAAACAAACACACCCAATATGGGCCCAGTGTGTCTGCTGCCACCTGGAGTCTACAAACTGCCAGTCCGGTTATCTTTCTCTCTTACCTGGGGCCACCATGACTTCATTCTTCTTGCTGCGGATGCGCAGGAAGGTCAGGTCATTCTGGGGGTCGATGTCACGGACCGTGCTGCGGGCTTTGGCCGTCAGTTGATGAAGTAGGCCCGCATATTGCACTGTGGTGGAATTATCCAACGTTGTTCTGATTGGAATCCCTGCAGTGAATAAAGAAATCAATCAAATTGAAGTACGTTGTAACATTATACTCATTTTGTGACTTTACCCATTAAAAAAAGCTCAAGTAAGCAAGACTAGTCTTTTTGCTGGTCCCAGAGGTCCAGCCTAGCGTCATCTTGGTACCTATTTGACTGACTGACGGATATTGACTGATTGTCACTTGTTACTTCACTTGCTACTTAGATTGGTCGTGGGCCAGTGAAGAGAGATAGGCAGCGCTATCGTATAGGATTACCCCGGAACACCAATGAATAGGCTAAATCTGAGTGTGCTCCACTCATGGGCGTCAATCGGTGGGGGACGGGGGGACCACTTTTTTCGTCCCGTAATAAAAATTGTAGCCTACTATGACTATAATGATACTATAGCTCAGAAAAGCTGATTCAATAACTCCAAACTCGAAAATGATGTTAACAAGGTGATATTTTGCGGAAAAAAGCCTCCGAAATTGCCTCAGATCACACCACAAAGCGTCTAGAACCCAACATTTTTCAGGGCCCTTGAACGAGCCCGAAACCCCACGCTGTTACGGCTTTGCGCTTCCCGCTCGTGTTAGTGCTGATCAAGGTATGTCTCCCCCCCCCTCCCACTTTTGAGAAGCGACTGACGCCCTTGGCTCCACTTACGCAAATCAATGCAAATGCTGCCAACGATTTCCCCGTGGCTATGCACTGAGAGATTGTGAACACTGGCAACGTTTGCTTGATCGGAATGAACCCCTGGTCCATTGTGAAAAACAGGTGTGTGAAAAAGACTTCCAGTGAATAGCCATTCTGAATCCATTGAATAGAATTTGGTGTGCTCTGGTTCTGACTGGTCTGGAAACAGCTTTACTAGGCTTTCCTAGTCTTTTCTCAGTAAAGAAGTGATTTGCTTGGGAAATAAAAAGTAAACAACATAACTCCATATCCTAGATAACGTCAGTCACCACTTTAACAATAATAAAGAGAAGGAAATAGACTAAAATCTGCATACCTTCCATATTGACAACCATGAGGCCGATGACCCCTTTGTGGGAGGAAATCCTCTTCAGGCATTCTTCAACTTCACTCTGCAAAATGAGAATTACATGTACATGTAGGACATGAGTGGCAAGCACAAAACAAATGAAAGTACATGCAGTTTGCAAAGAAAAATGGGCAAGTTATGACAATGTGGCTTACTTCCATGAGCTAATTTTTTTGAAAAAGTAAGTGGATTTTTAACACACTTTGACACTTGGACGAGTGTCCAGGAAACAATACAGCAAGTGTCTGGGCGTTATTCCCTCCACTCCACTGGGCATTATTCCTGGCCTACACTACTGGGACAAGGGGGAATTGGCAATGTGTGTGAAAGGGTGTGCGAGTTGGTGGAGGGGGGAGGGGGGGGGGACAAGTTGACAAGTACCTAGTAGTGGGATTTAAACCCGGAGTTATTAAAATTGGGTTTGAATTCCTCTGTTCGACTTCGATTTTGGAAACCGGATGTTCGAAACAACCCTTAAACAAATTAAACATTCCATTTTTTGTGACACAGGCTAAAAAGAAAACAACTGGAACATTGCCATTTTGCACCGTGGTCTCTGATTGTACATGTAGGCCTATGTAGCTGCATTCACTTGCTAGCGGCCTTCTTGGTGTATGAACAGCCTGCCCATTTTACTAATCACTGTTTTCTACACAGCTCTTGGAGTGTTTTTGTAAAGGCCCAGTGGTCATTGAATCCTGCAAACTATACCCAGTCGTTGGGAGGGCATTGCATGCGGCACCTCACTCGTCACTTTGTGCTGGCATGACTGTGAGCTGGATGGAAACTTCTAGTGAAATCAGATAACCCTTATTCCGTTTGAAGAAAAATTAGGATAACCGGATTTCGAAATCTCCGGTTTCTCCCACCATTACCAGTATCTACATGTACCCAGTCTTAGTTCAAGATGCTAGTGTAAGATTGTGCATCGCCTCAAGTCAAGATTGTTTATTCCACATTCATAAATACCTCAGACAGTTTAGCCATTCCTATTGGTCGAGAGCCCGTCACGTGGCCGGTATTAAACGGATGATAAAGACATGGCTAGCTGGTCTTAAACACTTTTCCAGTGTCACAATAAAATGTGGACTCCTAAAAATCCAGTGGCTCTTATCGTTTCATTGGTTGAACGTTCACAATCCTCACGTAGGCATGCGCAACACTACCAGGGAGTTAGAATTTTATAGTTCTAAATTCAAAACGAAACGCGCCAGGTGCGTTCTGCGCGACATCGCATAGAACATGATACGCGCGCGTCAATCTCCATAAAAGGGTTGTTTTCATCTTACTCGCCAGCTGAACACTCCATTATTTTGCAGGAGGGATGATTCAAAAAGCATAAAGTGAATTTGTTGAACAAAATCGAGATGTTTTGAACGAATTATATGATTTTTTTTTACCGAAAAGGTATTTATGAATGGGAATAAATATGTACTCCGTCGGTATTTATCACTCTGTTTAATACCACTTAGAGTCTGGGTGCTGATAATTACCCTCGCCTCCGGCTCGGGTAATTATCAGCACCCAGACTCTAAGTGGTATTAAACAGAGTGATAAAAACCTCCGGAGCACACATTTATTCCCTTAGTAATACACCGCACCCTAACATGCCTTACTCTGAACCACAAATACCAATGGCTTTGGTATTATTTCCAATTCCGATTTTTTTTCTTCATATTTTCCCTTTGTTTTTTCTAGTTGTGTAACCCAATTTTAAAAAGCAACCATAAAATTTGAATTGTTTTATATTATACTTAAATATTAATACTTAAATGTGACGCGATACAATAGCAAGCAACAGGCCCTACTGACAAGAGAATTTGCTATTCCCACATTAGCTTTTCAAAGAAGAGTCAATTTGCATATTATTTGAATACAATTTGCATACATCCCCAAATCCGCATTGTTGTTGCACGTTGTTCATCATTCACCCTAACAAATGTCTAATTTGCATATTATTATGAATATATGATGGCCACGCCTCTTCCATGCAGGAGTCCCAAGACATGAGTGCAATTAAATGATTAAATACATGTAACGGTCAGACTCACAGCCAGTATTGTTAAGGCGCAGTACTATGAAGGCAATTCAATGTGATGATAAACAAAGCAGGCAATTTGTGCAAAAACCTACTGGTATGGGGCCGGCTGTGAGCTACTTACAACTGTCATTTGATTCATTCGTAATATATTGCGATAATTAAGACTTACGTGATCATCTTTTCATACATTGTTGCATTTGTAATTAGAAATATTGTTATAAAATTGTTTTTCAAAGCTTATCAGAAATCAGTCAAATTCCCTTTTTAGATAACAGTTTCATTACTCATGAATATGCATATGACCCTGCCAATACTGGCCAATCAGAATCAAGATTTCAAGCTCTTCCCTCAAACACTGACCAATCAACACAATTGTTCCTCTGCTGGGACTGAGGACTGGTACCTTGAAGTTCTAACCTTGAGAAAAAAAATCAAGATTATTTCTTCTTTTACATGTAGGCCTAGACCCTTCTTTTTAAAGTTCAATATATGAATTTCATTTCCAAATTGTATTTCTTATATTCTATGCAAAAGAAGTGAGGATCAGTTATTTTGCAAAAATAGTTTTTGAGGGAAATTTTGGGGTAGGCCCCTAGGCTAAAAGTAAAAGTAAACGACAATGAAGAGGACAAAACCATTAAAACACAATGCCAAAATTAATGGAGATCACCACGACCATGTGACGACGCACTAATCCGCAAAACCGCATTGATCATTCACAGGTTGATTCACATCAACTGACATGACATGCCTGAAGGCTGAAGAATATTTTGCGTAGGAAAATTACTGGCGATCGTGTAGTGTAGGGCCTGACTTTAAGGAAACAAATTCCACTTTAAAATGATTAGACAGACCAAACTAGTTGGTTCTCAATAAACAGGTATGTCATAGATAGAGGCAGGGTGTTGATTTTTTTAAGGGAAATTTGGGGGTAAAATGACGATGACAGCGCGGCGACACAACACGCAACCCGAAAATAAAGATGGCGATCACCGCGCGATGTACCATGAGCACGCACGGCGCGCTGAATCGCAAGGTACAAACCGCGCAGGAAAATCGTGATTTCTAACTCAAGAAACTGTTAAAAATTGCAAAACGGATGTCATTATTAGAATTGAGAAGTCTGCTTTTGATTATAAAGGTGATTTTTTTAGCAAAAAAAAACATTTTTGACTCTAATTTGATCAAAACAAAACAGGGGCCCTACGCTACATGATCATGACGATCGCCAAATTATTCATATTTTCTAGTTTCTATCAAAATACTGGCCTAGGCTAACTGGCAATATTGCTACTATTCAATTTAATTACATTTTTTTTTTGAGCTAGAGTGCTAGTTCACACATGACATTCAGACCATCATTTTATAGCTTCATGTTCAGACATTGTCACTCATGCCGGACATTGACCAGTCGACAATATGCACAGTTGACATGGTTGAAATAGAATGACATTGACACTCGGAGAAATCAGGAAAAAAAACAGCAATGAATATATACGCTCACAATCTATCGCCACATTCATAACAAAATAGACTCCCTCTGTAATGGAGAGAAAAAACTCACCATTGTCACTTGTTCGTTTATCAACAGATCAAAGGTAAATTAAAACTCAAAGCATTCACTATTTTGTCCACCACACAACTTCAGCAACACTAAATTTCCAACATTTATAATCGGGAGCCTCACCCTTCGACATTGGTTATATGCATAAATATATGTACTAGACATATGGGAGTCTGGGGACTATACCCGGTTGCTACGGTGCAGTTTGTTTGGAAATTTCATTTCCAGTACAACCACAAGCAAGATTTTAGCACTGTCAACTTTACAGTGCATTCCTAGTAATAGGAACCCCTTCACGAAGACTTACACATCTGTTTAGTAATGTTCTTTTTAAATAATCTTTATTTGTACTCCTTTTATTTAAAATTATGGAAATTAATTTGTCTATGTTTAGACTTCCCCTTCTGGAAAAGTAACAGCCATAATATTTGTACCCGCTTTTCTAACATAGCGCCCTCATGTGGTGAAGCTTACCTCCGGTAAAGTTTTTATCTGCATAATGAATTATTTGCATCTGCCGCATTATATTACTGTTCGCTTCTGTACAAAAGCCTGGTATATTAACGGCTATCCCGTACGTAAGCGCAATGCAAGGAGTCGGTGCAAACTAATTTTGAACTGTTGGCTGGGATCAAATATCCATATATGTAGATTAGCGATGATTTCGATTGTCAGCAGCTGATACTCTAGACTTTGAAGTGTCGGGGTGTGGCAGGTAATTCTGTCCCCCCTGGTAAATGTGTCCCCCCGGACAGATTTACCGGGTCGTGACCCGGTAAATCTGTCCGGGGGGACACTTTTACCTAGGTAAACCTGTCCCCCTCTAGGTAAATCTGTCCCCCTGCACGACGTTAAATGTGTCCCCCCCTGGTAAATGTGTCCCCGTGCAACGTCACAAGTCTAGCACCCAGACTGTATATTAGTAAAGTTATTAACTGTTTTTGCGCGGCGCCTTGCTAAATTCGGGAATGGTGCTTACGTCAAAGCACAACTCCCGTTTTGATGACGACTTCGGGAGCAAGCGATTTGCATGGTGGGCGTGCGCGCGAGTGTACCGCACCTACGGAGGGCGTGCGCGCGCTAGCGATAGGTTGAGTACAATGTATTACTACGCGTGCCTTTTCTGCTTTCTTGCAGAAACATAGATCGGTTGATTAACATCTAAACGTTAATTTCATTTTGATAATCATTGATGAAGGGTAGAAAAATCTAAAAATGTATACCCTGTGCGCTGAATTCATTATAATAACATCAATATAACAACTTATGCGTGCAAAACCAGGGGGGACAGAATTAACTGGAGGGGACAGAATTACCTGGAGGGGGACAGAATTAACGGGACAGGGGGGACACTTTTACCTAGGTAATTCTGTCCCCCCGGACACTTTTACCGCGGGGGACAGAATTACCGTCCACAGGGGCACAACGGGTCACACCGGGTATGAATTGATCCAGGCGGCCGGGCGCGGGCAGAAAGTGTTTTTTTTTTGGTACATTGATTTGTGGTAACAGTTCTCATCATGTAGCTCATCATAGATGTGTTTAATTTGTAGGTGAACCTGCTTTGACGTGTTTTTATTTGTTTTGACTGGCGCAAATTTTGGTCAATGAGAAATGTGAAATGTTGCCGGGGATGAGGCCATGGGTTTCTTTATTAGATGAGGTCTACGTCTGCGCGCGTCTCGTTTCAAGTTGGTTGAGCACTTTGGTAACACTCGATTGACGGCGGAAGACACATCTTGGAGCACGTCTTTGGATTTTTTTCAATGATGTGAATCCGGCCCAAATAGCGTGGCAGTAAACCAAAAAGGGGACGTCTCTATAGTCCGAAGTACCAACCATTGGTCCGACGTCCCATTGGTCCGACGGCCCATTGGTCCGAAGTCCCATTGGTCCAACGGCCCATTGCTCTATACGTTCCATTTGTATAAACCATTCCATTGGTCCGGCGTCCCGGCCATTGGTCCAAAGTCCCAATGGTCCCAAGTCCCATTGGTCCGAAGTCCAATTGGTTCGACGCCCCAAAGGTTAATTTATAGGGTTAGGGGTTAGGGTCAGCTAGGGTCAGTCAACCTGAACCAGTGGAACTACACAGTATTATGTTTCATCGGACCAATCCCGTCGGACCAATGGGACTTCGGACCAACTACTTCGGACTATCGAGACGTACGTAACCATCCAAAAGTGGTCTGACCAAAGCAAAAGTAGGGTGAGTTTTAGTTGACCTATTTAAGCAGGACATGTTCCTCCTATAGACCCAGGGTCGATTGGCTTTTGTTGAGATCTGTCAGATGAAAGTTCCACACCAAGTTAGGTAGGCCTACGAGGGATGGCTTTTCACTTCTTTAAGGATGTGAGTCGCCCATTGGTATAGTCGGTTGAGGATTGGTTTGATTTTGTGTGTGACCGTTGATGAACATTTGGCTTTATTAAAACCTATCTGTCAATTCAAAAAGACTTCCATGCAATCTCTCTGAGGTTGTTGATGCAGTACGTCTATACGCGTCTGCTTGTATAATAATGACACTCAGTGTATGTCGTAATATGGCTCTGAATTTCACGATAAAGTCGGCGAATAATCTGACACGGATAAGCAAGTCATTCAGACGTACATGACGAGAAAAAGTAAGGCCCCCCCCCCCACCCGAGGAACTCCTGAAGCCACGGGAGATTTTTTTTCTGATGGATACCGTCATGTCAACCACCACCCTAGCGGATGACGTGGTGAGAACATTATCGAACCAAAAAAGGATGTTATTTCAGATTCTGACATGGTGGAGCTTTGCTAAGAGACGTTGGTGAGGAACAATGTGGAAGGCCTTGCTAAAGTCCATAATTATAAGATCTGCCTGACTCCTGAGATCTTCTGCAAGTCATCAACAAAGTGCAGAAAGCTGAGTTTCGCATTGCGAAAGCCGTCTTTCGGATCGGCACTGATGATATTAAACTTCTCAACATGCTTCATGATGTGCCCATGGATGATTAGTTCTAACAATTAACTTACGGATGATATCTCTCATCATTGTCCTTAACTAACACTTGTTGGAAAAAATAATACTCATACTTATAATTAGCCATATTTTAGAGTTTCGAAGATTAATAATTGTTGGGTACGTCTACGTCTCTGAATGGACTTATATTGGAGCTGGATTCAATTTCAATTCTCCAAATTTTGCCATTTTATTCAATAGCTTCGATTGGATTATATATTTTTGCAGCTATTTGGTAGAGCTTAGCAACTTTTGTCAATTCCCACCGCCCGCATTTTGTTCTTTTGCAGCCTAGCAAAGTCCTCAGTATACGGCGTCAACAATCATGAGCGCAACTGGCGGTCTAGCGGTCGAGCGCCCTCTATTGAGCGAGGGCGCTTTACCCCAGCGTTATACACGCAGATACCCAGACGTCTGTAAGGATTAAAAGCAGGTAAATTATTTGAGAGCCTGACTAACTCGTCACGGCGCGATTCTCAACACAAGTTGAACAGATTTTACGTTACTCGTCGACGTTAGATCGAAAGTTTTACGAGATTTCTACCTTTTTCTTTCCACAATGATCAACACTAACGTTGAGATCAGACTTCGAAAGGTACTTGGAAGGTTCAAGAGGGATGAATTTGTCAAACATTTGAGGGAGTGGGGTTCGATTCCATCTGGTTGTTTGAAGGAAGTGGAGACGGTTGTTGCAGAGAAAAGCACCCGCAAAGCTCTCGTTGAACGGATAGTGCAACTTAGCAACGTAAGTTTCGTGATGACCTAGTCCTAGCCCCATAAATGTGGCCTATTTACTGGACTGCCTCCGTAAACATAGGCCACACATCCACATGTACAAAAATCGTGTCGACGGAGCCAAATTTTGATTTTCACATTTAGGCTTAGTTTGTAGGTTTTTTTTGCTTTAGAAGCATACTCACCCTCTTTATAGGCTAATCAGAAAGTGCTGCCTTTTTCAGATGTATATTTTTCGTGAAATTTCCAGATTCATTTTTACACGTTTGCGTATCAAAATTTCAACATGAAATTTCACAAAAATTAGACATCTGAAAAAGGCAGCACTTTCTGATTAGCCTGTAAAGAGGGTGAGTATGCTTCTAAAGCAAAAAAACCCTACAAACTAAGCCTAAATGTGAAACTCAAAATTTGGCTCCGTCGACACGATTTTTGTACATGTGGATGTGTGGCCTATGTTTACGGAGGCAGTCCAGTAAATAGGTCACATTTATGGGGCTAACCTAGTCCCATAAATGTGACTGAAATACTGGACTACCTACCTCCGTATATCAGTCACAGAGCCACGTACGGCCTGTGAGCGGAGCGTCCCGTTGCTAGAGGAGCCGACAATTTTGCCGGAGGTAATGACGGCAAACTAACGTTTACTAAAGGTTTGCCGGCGGCAATCCATATCAACAGAGGGCGCTGTACTCTTTAAGATAGGGCTGAATTATAAGATGTATTAAATTCCCACTAAAAGTTGTGTAGCACGTTTGGTATAGTGGTTAAGCAAAGGCTTTAGTGAGCGGGATGACTCGGGTTCGATCCCGATCCCCGCCACATTTTACAGTTTTTTTTTCCCATCCCCAAATAAATAAGAATATTCTTCTTTTATTATTTTAACATGTCTCAAACATTTTATTGCAGAGTATTACATTTTCTTTTTCAGATTTGTGGCTCTGGAGGATTTTTTTTAAAAGGGAAATAAAGTCCGAAATTATAAAATGGTCTGAATCCCATCTTGTGAATACGAGGTTACAACGATAATATTGGCATGGAGCCAGACTAAAATTTGTCACCGGAAAATTTAAGTACAAAAAAACAGTAACTGCGCATGTTCAGTGCATATCCGGCAAACTAACGTTTACTAAAGGTTTGCCGTCTCCGGCAAAATATCCACTGCCATTAATTAAAGATCGAAATTATTTTGTCAGCAGAAAATCAACCCAGCTATAGTATAGTCCGAGTAACTTGGACCCAACTTATCGCCTTTTTAACATTCCGACATGGTCTGGCGATAGTGGGGTCCAAGCTAATAGTGCGAGCTGGACAACACAATTCTGTCACTGTCCCCAAAACCAACACTTTCCAACAAAAAACATCAGATTTCACCTTCAAAACGGCCTCCAAATTACTAGATACGCCAACTGAGGTACAAGTAGACATCGATAATTAAGATGGTTGTACTGAAGTTTACTTACGATCCGGATGGAAAGTGAAATTTTCCGTTCAATTCCGAGAGCTCCGCTCGCGATCCTGAACACGTTAAATTTCCGATTCGTGTTAATGTTTGAACGACGCGATGTGGTCTTCATTCCCAGCGTACATTCGATGGTCCCCGTATCCCGAGTGCGATTCCGTTACCGAGCGCGCGCGATGCATCGATTATGATAATGAGTAGACTGGATTGCGTTAGTAAACACAAGTGCATTTCGAACGATAATAGGGGGTCGGGAACTAGGGCAGCTTTTATGGACGGATACCAGTTCAAGCTGGTTCCCGATTCCCTTTTACCGTTCGAAATGCACTTGTGTACCGTTGCTAGGGGAGCCGAAAATCAATTAAAGATTGAAATTATTTTGTCAGCAGAAAATCAACCCAGCTATAGTATGACTGCTAAATAGTACAAAATCGTTAAATTCGGTACCTTCAATGGTCTAGTTATCCAAAAATCATGGTGATTCGGCAAAGAATTCCGACAGTTTTGAAAAAGCATGGCGTCTCTGATATTTACCAGACTGTTTCCTGGCCACCCTATAGTCAAAAGGCCAATGGGATCAGGGAACCAGACAAGAGCTTTAATCATCTACTGAGCGTGCATCAACTTTGGCAAAGCGCACCGCGGCTGTTGCCTGTCATTCCAAAATATCCAAAATTGATTTCTCCTCATGACTTCCGTTAACACTCCTACACGTATATTGAGCAATTGCGGTCTTAGATTGCTATAAACTTTTTTTTTTCTTTGGCTTTCTCCACAGATCAAGCATCTCACAACCCTGGATGTTGCTCAACTTGACCTCATCTGTATGTTCATTTATTTATTTACTTAATTATTGATTTATTTTTTATGTCATCTCAAAACAACCTTACAGTTGTACCTGTATATTTATCTGAGTCAATTGAGTCACTTATGTGTGAGTGACTTCTTGCATAGTGGTGGGAGAATCAGATATTTCAAAATCCTATTATCTGAATAACGGTTATCTGATTTTACCAGAAGCCTCCATCCAGCACACAGTCACGCCAAAGCCTCCATCCAGCACACAGTCACGCCAACAAAAAGTGACGAGTGAGGTGCTGCATGCAATGCCCTCCCAATAATTGGGTATACAGGTACCCGTAGTTCGCAGGATTGAACGACCACTGGGCCTTTACAAAAACACTCTGGAGCTCCGGAGCTGTAACGTTGAAGAAATGGGTGGGAAGTCTGATATTACGTTGAATGGGCAGGCTAATCATGAACCAAGAAGACCACTAGCAAGTGAATGCAGTTACAATCAGTCTCAGAGACCATGGAGCCAATTGGGCGATGTTGCAGTTGAACCTGTGTCCAAAAAACTGGAATGCTTAATTTATTTTTTTAAGTTGATTTCGAATACATGTACATAAAAGAAAACTGGAAAACTGAAATTTAAACTGAATTTGCGAAAGTCCGAAATCCCACCACTATTCTTGCACAATTTGAAGAGCTTGGTGTTTAAACTTGAAATCAGTACATAGTACTTGTAGCTTGTTTATTATAGCGGCTCAGTTATTGAGTCCTTTTATGACCTTCTCATTTAACTATGATTGAAAACAAATCAGCACGATGTTTCTATGTACATGTAGCACAATACCCTAATGAGGTTTGTGATATCTTAACTATTAGTGATTTATGATGATCTGAGGTTACAATATAGGCCTAATAGTTGCTTTTTGCGTTGATTTGCATCATTCTTTAGACCATCAAAATCATCCAAACAACAGAAAATGGAGTGTCTTCCAACTCACCAAGCAGCCAGGTAAATATTACATATAATCTGCAATTATTGTTAGACTGTAAAATGACAAATTCTTTCTTGTTTTTCAAAGAGTTACTATTCGGAACTTCCCTGGCCAATTCGGGCGATTCACAATGCAGTGCGCCACCAAGAGTTTGCCATGGAGAGTTCATTTTTCAAGTTTACGATTGACAAAACATGGCCCATTTGAATGAGTGTCAGTAGAAAACTTGAGCTAATTTGTTATAGATTGGGGCATAGCGTTCTGCCGCCTTACAAAAAACTCCATATTGATAAAAAGAAAAGAGAAGGGCAAACATTATATTCGAATCATACTTTTACAAACTTTCTGGCTGGAAAAACTAACAATTTCAAATGTCCCGCACTGCGAATTTGTTGACCATCTCCCACAGTGCACTGGGAAAAATGAGCTCTCCGTGGCAAACTCTTGGTGGTGCACTGCATTGTGAATCGCCCGAATTTATATATTGTCTGTCAGTGTGCATAATTCATCGTGTCTGTGCAACAAGGTCGTATCTTCTGAAATGGGCCGTACGTGAAACGCGAGTTTCAGAATGTCAAAAGGTCGTATCTCACTTTAAAATAGCCCGGATGTACATGTACACACAAAATCAATGGGCGTCGGGACACGACCTTGTTGCACTGAGCGTATTCGCACGAGATACGACTTTGTTGCAGAATGGAGTTACGACCTTGTTGCACTGACATGACGAATTGTCAGTTTTGAATAGCAAGCCCATCGACAGATGGAACCCCCACACCTATTGTTTGATTTGACGGAGCCAAAGTGTCCTTGGGATGTGTAAGCGCCCCTTTCAAGAAATTTGCCCCCCAATAAAAATGACCTTGCTATACCCCAGATCACAGTTTAATAAGGAAACAGGTTTACCAGCTAACATGTTATCAAACAATTCAGATATATATATACAAAATAGCATTACAAACATTTCAAGCTTTCCATCTAGGCTTGTGCACAAACATGAATGCTCCCAGCAGCTACATTGCGTTAGTGGAAATTCAGTCCACAAATTATTCATGCATACACAAATGATGGAGAGTTGACCACATACATGTACAGCTTGTGAGTGATCCCAAAAGGTCATTCAGTGTTCAAGCTCAGAGGCCAAACATGTAGTCCTCAACCCATTAAAATATAAAAAAAAACCCTGAATTTTTGTGACAAGCCCTGAAAAAAAACTGCCCTCCCCACTAGGGAATCAAATAGTACAGAAAATAAAATTGTATCACTTACATCAGTGCGACCTTCAAAAAAATCATTCAAACCGTAAAAACAATCAATTTACAAATATTTATCAATATTGTTTTAACTGGATTCTGTTCATTTCAGAACAAAATGAGAAGCACGTTGTGACCTCACCTGACGCTTTCCGAGAACGACTTGGAAAACAGCTTTCATTTTATTTTAAAAATGTAAGTGGCTTTCCAAAAATTGTTTTTTTTTTAAACGAATGCTGTTAGGTGTCCTGTGTTGTGCTTGTATACATTTGCCACTTGAATTGATATTTTTTTGTGTGTGTTTAGACTTTAGTCATGTTAATTAATGAAGCCCTAACCACCATTTAGCAAAACGCAGTATATTAACCCTAACGCCTTGAGCACTTTTACTAGAAAGTATCCTGAATCCACCAAATTCCACCAATTTTGTCATTCCAAAATCCTGCAGTACCGCTAGGCTTACTGTCCTGAATCCATCACAATCTCCCAACTTTTTCAATATGGAGGTATCCCGAATCTGCCGAAATCCTCCAAAACAAGGGGTGTGGATTGTGATAGATTCGGGTATGTGAGGGTTAATAAAATTTGGAGGAAGCCCAGACAAATATTCTAGCAAAGTACGGCGTACAGTAGCAGTAGAGTTTGCTATCAGCAAGAAGAATCAAATAATAGTCTTGGGAACTTCGGCAACGCTACCCAGAATATTCCGAGCATCAAATCCAGTCTTGGGCCAAGACTAATTACTTGGTTACGGCTAGAAATAACACACAGGTGTGAGATAAGTGGCTGCAGCCGCTTCCATCGGCGCGTGTGTACTTTCTAGCCGTAGCCAAGTAATTCGGACACAGCCCTTACACCCACAGACATATAAATGCATAGACCGCCAGTCCTGCGCGTAAAACTGTAATTTAAAAAAGTATGGGCAAAACGCTTGTTGACAGCGCGCGTATCCGTGCGACGTGCGTTCAATGCAGATACGCGCTTAGTACAGTCCATGTACATACATTTACATACAGGACGTAAATTTTTGAGCTTAAAAAGGGCTGTTTTACTCACAATCTGGGTGAAAAAGTTGTGCAGGTTATTGTGTTTTAATCTACCTCAACCATACAAAGTACACAAGGGATTTTTTTTACAATTGAAAAATAACTTCATAGAATTTTTTTAATGGAATAGTTTGGGTGTGTGTAAAATCCCTATACCGCCAGGTGAATTTGCCCATAGTTTGGATTTTAGTCGGGCGCCATGAAATCACGGAATGGGCGTGTAGTTTTGAATAGGACCTGGCGGTCTATGTGTTTATAATGTCTGTGCTTGCACCCAGAAAATAGCTTTGTTAAAGCGCCCTCATTTCCTCTTGGATAAGGCCCATTTAAGCTCATCTGGTTCCCTGTCCCCATTGTCCTTCGGACTTCAAATGTGGGGACAGGTAGCTAGCAGTGAATCCTGAAACATTAGGAGGCTTTCCTCCTAATCTATGCAAATTATATGTATGACGTGTATAGGTCTGAATCTCGTCTACTGAATTCAAAATCACAACGGTAATGTTTGCGCGCAACCAGCCTATTGCAAAATGGCAATAGATCACGAATGTACAATTTTGGAGGCGATGAGCTTTTATTTTTTTGCTGAATTCGAAAGTGTCTCTGGCAAATTTCAATGAAGAGCATTACTGTTAAGTATTTAAAACCAATGCAGTTGAAATGCTGGAAAGTTGCCTTCATGGAGACACTGGCGATTTTACGTACTTTTTGTGGTAAGACAAAGAGTCAGATTTTTTTATAACCATGTGTTCGACTGTCGTCCATGCACAAAACTGAATAGTGATTCAAAAATAAACAATCATGCTGCGCACTGTGGCGCGCACACGCAAAGGTGATCCAATCATTGGCTTTAAATGGGAGCTAGCTACCGGTCCCCATATTTTTAGGGGGGCCGGGAAACAGACTACATGTACGTTTAAGCATCTCCGATCCCCTTCACAACTCACACATTCATCCACAGGACCTGTGTCTGAGGACGCGCGGCGATGCCTGGTGGCTGCGGCTCGGCATCCAGGAGGGGTCCCAAGCCCAGCGACTGTCCCCTGGTAACGTGGTCTACATGGTGCACCATCCCCACTCCCAGTACATCATCATGTCCAGCATCAAAGTGTCCCATAAAGACTTTGTCATGCAGGTAAGGGCAAGGAGAGACATTGGTTTATGGGGCTTGACTCAAAGTTGTTTGCAATTTGCAGAGTTAAATTTGAATAAAATCTTGAACACTGACTTAAACCAGTGCTTTGCACGTTTTAAGTTTGCGTTCTCCCAACCAAAGAGACTGTTACTATATAAAGTGATTCGGGGTAAGCCTTATGCTAGCAACCCCCAGCTCTGGCATGGTCTGGTGTCTTTGTGCCATTCTCACCCATTGTGAACAATGTATTGGTGCTGAGCGTCTCTTACGTAACTATGCAAGAGCTTGCCCCGAATCATGTGATTAGCAACAGTGTCTTTGGTCTGGAGAATTCAAAGTTAAAATGTGCCAAGCAGTCTAAGCAAGTCAGTGTACCAGATGTTTTTCAAATGTATATCCCAAAGGGTATAGGTTACTTGCAAATGGCTCATTTGAGGCATTGATACTGCCCCCCAAAAATTGTTGGTTTTTCTAGTGTTGCTCCCTTTTTCAGGAAGTTTCCTTAACCAGTTTGTGTTGGAGGACGTGATAACATGCACTGGCTGTTTTTATATACAGGCACGGCTGACGGTTTAAAATGTCAAAATTGCTTCGACTTGCCTCTGGTTGAGGGGGTACTTTTTCGCAGAGTTCATATCTTGAAAATTTGCAATTTTCGTGTAAAATAATCCTGCAAAAAAATTTCGGGAATGAAAATTTCGGTCCTCAAAAATGGAGCTGTTGGAGCGCTAGTCATCAATCCAGTCACTCATGTTTCTTTTCAAAACATTTCCTCAAAACAATTCTTCGAATGAAAGTGCCCTGGGATCGCTGTGTGTATATTCTCAAGCTAGCGTGGGACCTGATATCTCATAGTGAATTGCCACATATAATTAACAATTGTTGACTGTGATGTGGGATGTGACGCTTTGAACACCTGAGGGGTGCATAGCACCCGAGGGGCGCATAGCACCCGAGGGGCGCATAGCGCCCGAGGGGCGCATAGCACCCGAGGGGCGCATAGCACCCGAGGGCGTATAGCACCAGAGGGCCTTCAAAACGTCATATCCCACATCACAGCAGCCGACAATGGTTTTGTTATACCTCTGTCTTGGATTCTTTGGATTTTGATGTAAAAATCATGAAAACAAACACAACAATCATGACAATCTAACGGCAACTCACATGCGTGTCGCGTGCTCGAAACAGCTGATTGTCTGCTAGTTCACTGCTCCCACTCATGTGTTAAAACATGGTGAAAATAGCGTGGGTACCAACGATACAAGCGTTTTACACTGTACGTGCCGTATACGTACAAAGTCATAGCACACTCTTTGTGGGATATTATCCTACAGGGAGTGTGCCATGACATTTTTTATAAACTTAACACGTGATCGTTCTCTGCCAATGAAAATACAGTGGTTCAAGACAGAGGTATAACAATGTATATTTTATGCGGCAATTGTCTATTATTGACAGTTTGCTCAAAATCCGATGCTTAAAAAGGTATAGACAAGGCCAAAATGGCTGCCATATAAAATGTCCATAAGACATGTGCATCTTCTGAATAAAGGAAATGAGGTTTGTATTAAAAGATCTTAAATTCTGACATATTACCAAAATCTTCAAAGGGAAGATACAACTTTTGCAAACATCACAAAAGGAAATGATCAAATTGTCACGAAACACCTTACTGGATTGTTAGTGAATGACTGTCTAAAGGCTCCCTGTGTGCTGTCATCTTCAAGAAAAATTAGATTTTTCCAACGCTGGTCGGCCGACCAGCATTGGAGAAAACAAGCTTTTTTTCAAAACCTGCTCCTAATTTTTCATATTAGTTATTCTGTGATGTTTTTGCAATTGATTACACACCTGTGAAGATGTACAAGCCTTCTAGACTGATTCTCTGACCTTACAATTCCCCAAAGTCAATAAATTGCTCCGTTTCATCATAAGTGGGGTCAGGGAACCAGACTACACGAATAGATTGGTTTTCTTGGTTTTTTCAGCATCTACAAGCCCAAAACATGAAACAAGTCAGCTTTACAATATTTGCTATGACATACTAATCCTCCAAGTCCATTTATTTCTGAAAATTGCAGCAAAAGCAAATGTTGTACATTCCCTTTAAGTTAATAATGTCTTGTTTTTCTTGCAGGCATTACTAAACAGCCTCCACTGCAGTGAGATCCGTGAGATCCAGCTGACGGGTCGCGACCTGGACTCTCTGGCTGCGTTAGCGTTGCATAGCAACAGCCAGGGCTGGTTCTCACAGTTCAGGCTGGGTCAGGTGGACTCCAATCCACTGTCCAAGGGGCCGTCCAGAAAAAGAAAAGGTACATACAGTCAGTGAGACAGTTCCGGATCATCGACAGTTCCGGATCATTGACAGTTCCGGATCACTTGATTAAAGTACAAATTAATTCAATTGTAACCAATTGTTTTTTTCGAGATGTTTTGCCACCAATTTGAAGGTCTATCTTTTGCAATTGTCGGGAAAAGAAATTTTGGAAATTGCTCAAACATTACCCATGATCCAGTTTGGCGAAAAGTCCACTTGTTTTGTAACTGGGCTGTGAAAGGAAATGTGTAAAGGCAAAATTCTGGTTTCCTGTGGAACGGGCCAACATTTATCGTTTTTTTCTTCACTATATTAGGTTTTCTTGTAAGGAAATAATCTCAAGTGTCACTGAGTAATAATGATTTGGGCATTTGAATTAAATGTATTGCCATATTCGGCGAAAGATTTTTATCCCCGTGTGCGACAGTTGCGGAGTACGCATGCACACGATGCAGTTTTGTGTGCAGTTTAGACGATGAATGTTTGACACAGGACATGCGCGCTGACCGTGCTGTGAATGATAAATTTGTACATCTACTAGTACAGAGTGCATGATCTGGAACTTTCGAAAGTGATCCTTAACTGTCGGGTTCAGTCCTGTACAAAAGACATGATTTATTTCTCTTTTTAAGTTGAGTCTGTGTGAACATACTTGGTTTTAACTTGAAGAGGAGGAATTTTACTAGGAAATGATGTCACTCGGACATGGAAACTCTGAACATGGGCAATGTACAGCGGTTTGAATAAAAAGTGATCCGGTACTGTCGCACTGATAGTGTTCTCTTATAGTTGCTTTTTGCCTAGGCTTGTCTTGTAGATGTGACAACAGGGGTGTGTAGTTCACTGTCACAACAGTCTTAAGAAGCATGCCTACGTAAGGCTGACGTCCAACCCCCTAAGAATTGATTCAAAATTATGAAGTCACTCAAGCCTACAAACTGAGGATTAAAACAAACGTCTCGTTTTCATTTAAAACTTGTTTTTATTAAAATATTGTATTTTTTGATTCAATTTTGTGTGTGCTTCAACAGCTCCATCAGATGTGCCAGATACAGATGTTGTCTTTGAGAATCAGAAGGACAAGGACCATCGTGAGCAGCAGATCCTCCATGCCTTCGGATCCAACAGGCAGCCTAAGCTGCAGAAGATAGAATACAAGGTAAGGCTTTGTCCCGAGCAACATGATGTGCCACAGTCTTGGTGCAAGAAGCTCTAGTCTTAGCGGGGTACTCGCGATAGATGGTACAGCCTTTGTACCTTGCAGCAGCGTGCATGTTCCCAGTCACGTGCGAACCACTTGGTCAACAGACCACACGCAATAGGGCGTGACTTCCTATGCAAAATATGCGCTTTGGTCTAAACGAAAGAGCTCTTCCGAAAACTGTTAGTCAGGCAACGTACCGCAAACGTGCTATCGATGGCACTAGGCGCTAACCGGTTGACCCGTTCGGTCCAATCATGGCCGGCCACGTCCAAATTGATGAAGAGCACTGACTTTTAGCCTTCCAAAGCCCAGTTTCTTGGAAGGAATGTAGTATCCTGATGCCACTTCTGTGGTTGTGTACAGAGTCTGTGGAGAGTTGAGTGCATTTTTGAAATATTTTCTTACAAAATTTGAAATGCTTCTCTGTCCCAAATTCATGTCTTTTCAACATTTTTGCAATGACTGACCTTCATTGAGATGATATATGATGTACAAAGTGGCGCCAGGATGCAACAATCCTTCCAGTTTCCTTGCTTCAAAATTCATTGCTTCGTCCACGCGGTTGACATTTTTATCTAACAGCTTTCTTGCAAGCTGTACATGCATGACTTAGAAAAGAGCTTTTACACCGGCTGTTTGTGTACAATCTGAGTCTTGAAATCACCTCCGTTATTTCGAAAACGGTTTTGTCCGACTTTCTTTGGAATGGGACGGCAACTCTTGAATTCTGTCATAGGTAGAATTGTGCTTGTATTTCACTTACTTCAGAAACAAACAGCCCAAACCTGTGAATTTCTTGTATCAACCCAAACATGGCAGTGCCAGGCCTGATGAAGATTACGATTAGTCAGTAAAATAGTCCATTTTCAGTACGTACGCAATAACTTATGCCACCTAAAATGACTGCACAAGTTATGCCATATAAGTTCGGAATTTACGCTCTGTGAAACCTTGGACATAACGCAATAAAATGTTGCATTAGTGGAGATGCGCCATTGCGTGAAGTTTTGTGAAATCACCTGCTGCTGTTATCGCCATTTGAATGTCAAACTGTTTCTGAAAATACGGTAGTCCAGTTATACACGTAGGCAGCATTTCTCAATCTTATTACTTCTTATTACTTCTTATTACTTATATCTTATTACTCCCCTTATTACTTCTTCTCAACTTTTCCCGCCAGTTGGAAACCAGGTTTCGCGGCTTCGAGTTTGCCCCGGCCATGTCGCTCCACAAGGAACCGTTCCATTGCCGCGTCAAGTTTGAGGGCTCCAGCGTTCTGGAGGGCATCAAGGAGTTGGGGAGGGCGGGGCTTACTGCGTTACCCCTCCCCCATCACCTAGCCAATGTGCACTCGCTGGCCAAAAACCACTTTGTCCTGGCCGACAAGAAGCGAACGAGGCCAGAACAGAAGTGAAAAGTTCTGACAGACTGCAAACAAAACCAATTTTTTTTTACATGGATGTACTCTGTAGACAAGTACTGCTTCACTTGTTTACAAAGAATGAGTCCGGGGGAAAAATTTGGTGGGGGACACTAATGCATTGCCTCACACTAAATTCACACTACACCAGCCCAGCTGTGTTCTGCGCCACATCACGCAGTACGTGCGACACGCGTGCCACTCTCTATATATGGAGTTGTTTACAACTTCTAGCTGGCTTGCACCCATTCACGGATGTGTAACCGATTGCAAACAAAATGTGGAAGATGGTAGATTGAGGCAGTATTTGAAATATGCCAGGTTTGTTCCAACGATGGTCGGCCGACCATCGTTTGAAATTGATACAAAAATTCCACTTTTCTTGAAAATGACAGCACACCAGATGCCACGATTTCAAAGAATGCTTGAGACTGTTATTCACTTACAGTCAAAGGAGCTTTTTCGCAATAATTTGGTAGTTTTGATATTTGTAAATGTTGTATATTACGTTTAACATGCCCACTTCTAATATTTGTTAAAAGTGATATACCATGCCTAATTCCGTACAATTAATGAAAAGCTGATGAATTAACCTTTTTAAAACTTGTTTTTAAATGCAAAGCTATGGGTGTTAATGTTTTTAGTTTGGTACGATTAAAAATGCAGCGTATTCAGCCGAAATTTAGAAATTTGCAAAATTCCATCTTGCTGTCACTCGGCATTTTTTTGTATACTTAGTTTGTAAAAGTAAAAAGTTGATTTGATCAATGTCTTCAATTTTAAAGGGAATATACATCAGTTGCTTTTGCTGTAATTTTCAGAAATGGATGGAATTGGGGGGTTGGAAATATATAGCAAATATAGTTACACTGACTTTTTTGAGGTTTTGGGTTCGAAAATGCTATAAAAACCAAGAAAAGCAATCATTTTCCTGTAGTCTGGTTCCCTGACTCCATTTATGAAGAAACAGAGCAGTTTACATATATTGGGGAATTGTAAGGTCAGGGAACTAGTCTAGCTGGCTCGTACCCGTTCATAGGTTTGTAATCGATTGCAAACAAGTGCAATGGTCAATTGGGGCCAGTATTTGAAAAAAAAGCCAGTTGTTTCCAACGCTGATCGGCCGATCAGCGTTGGAAATTGATACATAAATACCACTTTTCTTGAAAATGACAGTATACCAGGTGCCATAATTTTACAGGATGCTTTAGACTGTCATTTACCAACATCCTATTGAGGTATTTCGCAAAAACTTGGTAGTTTTATTTTTCGATGTTTGCAAATGTTGTATATTCCCTTTAACAGATGTTGCTTCATTTCATGAAATAGATTTTATGCATTAAAGGGGCACATCGTCCTAAAATCGCCAAAATTTGTCATGGTTAAGATTGTTTACTTATCCTATTTCAAAGGAAACTAACCTACATGTAATATCGCACTGTTCCTGGGAAAAGACCATAAAAAATCCCGGTTGTTCACTTCTGACGCGGCGGACATTTTGTGGCATATGCATTCCTATTTCCAGCCAGAAGCATAAGTCTCTTTCTTGGATGTTGCCCCCAGCTTCTGTGTCCATTATGCCAGACGATTTAATGTACGGTACACATCGTGTATGTGTACACATAATGTACACACGGTCATGTTTTACTTTACTTTCGAGGACAATGCTTTGTGTTTCCCTTTGTCCCTGTATTATAACACTCTGCCATAGACTAAGCACACAACCGTACGATAGAGGACCGTTTTCAACAAAGGACCCATCTGAAAGGATCTGTTGTTCTCCCTTTGTGTGTCGGTCCTCGGGGGTTATGTAGAACACGTACACACATACTTGTTCCGTAGTTGTGGGGACTACCCACGAGTTGTCCCATGGTACCATGGGGACCCAAGACGCTATGGGGACAGCAGAAAGTCCGCATAACTCATTTCGAATTTGCCTAACAATAAAAAAAAAATTCCCCATAATGCGGTGATGGCCTGCCCAAGTTCACACAGCACCAATAAACACGCTGCTTTTCCGCACGTCCGCAGCATGCGATGCACTGGTCATGCTGGCGGCACATGTGTGACGGGATTCTCGACTATCACCCATAACAGCTTGATTTTCCGAGAGTTGAAATTTTGACCCCCGAAATTTGTGCTCGCAGGAATAACACAAAAGGATGGTTGCGCGGACGTTTATATTCTACGTTTGAATGCTCCTCCACAATTAACATCATTTCAAATTAGGTTTTTGCCCTTCACTGTTTAACACTGTATACTCAGTGTGTTACATCCGGAATGAAAGTTGGAAAAAATCACTCGGGTGGGACTCAAACCCACGACCTCCTGCTTTCTAGTGCAGACGTCGGTGAAGGGCAAAACCTAATTTGATTTATATCACCCCGGCGCAAAACAAATTCCATCTTATAACATCATTTCGTTTAAAATGCATTATGTAGCCCTTTCCAGGAAGCAGTGTGCCTTTATGGCGGAGTTACAGGGCAATAGACAATATCATGTTGCGGCCATCTTGATTTTCCCCCTTTCAAATCAACGTAACCAAAGCGAGGCTGGAAGGAAAAAAAGTCTGGTTCCTTTTTGCACAAAAACATTATCACTCAGTACTGTTATTGGATTTAGGGAACATGACTGAAACGGTAGCAGCTTGATATTAGGTCTTTGGTTTTGTATCGGGGGCATGGGTAAACCTTTTGGGCATTAATTGCTGGTAAATTCAAACAACTGAGGGTACCCTCCAGAGATACTACAGGGCTTTAGGTCTGTTGTGAGAATTGAAATTATCATCCTGAATGGGGTTGTGAAGCAGAGCGACCGTAAGGTCACCGCCAAATTCTGCTAAATGCTCTTCAAAAATGTGTCAGACTTATCAAAAATCTGCCAAATCCCCATGAATTACTCGAAATACATTATAAACACTTAAAATCGCATGCAAATGTTGTAATATTGCCTTAATTAAGGTTCAAATTACATTATAAACAATCTATAGTGATATAAAGGTGTTATGAAATTGCGTAAATTTCAGTCAAAACGAAGTTGCGTAACGACGATTCCCAGTGAACTTCAGCACATAGACAAGGCAACCTGTCCCATTATGCAAGGGGTTGTTTGAAAAGATTGAAGCTTTTGTAAAAAATCTACCTTTTTATTCAAATTTACTATGTTTTTCTGTCAAACAACCTTTTTTACAGAATTCTGCCAGAAATCTGCCAAAAAAATCCATTCTGTCAAATTTTCTGTCAAACTCGTGTTTTAACAAAAAATCTGTCAAAGTTAGCCGAAAATCGGCTAAAACGGTCACTATGTTGTGAAGGGTGTTTGTATCTGGAACCCATAATGTAATGTGCATTCAAATCAAAGCCTGAAATTGGAATTCAATGCAGGACATAACTTTTAATTGTAGGATTCAGACAGTATCGACAAAAGATGGATTCGTCTGTGTATTAAATCTTGTGTATGGATGTTTTAAAATTTAAAATCTGTAAAATGACAACAAAAAATTCAAATGGCTTGCACGTTACGCCCAAGAAAATAGTTGAAACTAAAATATGTTATTAATTCGCAATGGAAGATTAAATATTGTATACAATAAACAAATTAGTACTTGAAAACATTCTTGTATTTGTTATTTATTCGCAATGAAAGATTAAATGTCCTGTAAAATAAAAATGTTTAGTACTTCGAAGCATTCTTTTAAGAATGCAGTGTGTTCAGGCGAAAATCAGAAGTTTGAAAAATACAATGTTGCTGTCTTTTGGCGTTATTAAATTAAATGCTCAATAGTAAAAGAAATAGTACTGAAAAACATTCTTCAATACTGATATTACAAAAAAATGTTCACAATATTTAATTGATTAATATTACTGATCTTAACAATTTTGGAAAATGGGAAACATTTAAAGTCATCCAATTATTTTTTATATTTTTTTTTAAAATCCAAGCTGCTAACTGAAATTGAGTGAACATCTGACAAAAAAACAAAGAATAAAGATTAAAATAAAACTAGAGGTTCGCGTTTGTTGTTACAAACGCAGAGTGGTCGGGCAGGCAATTTGTTCATTAAACACTGCCGAATTGAGTATGAATATGTTTATGTAAGAACAAAGGATCACGAAGTAAATCCTTTCCAGTACAATCAATTATTTTGTTTCAAAAAATGCATATTTAACGGTGTGATAAATTTTAGTAAACATTTTCTGCACTCATACAAGTTTTTTCCGGCTTGATGGCTTCAAAAACGGGAAGTGGATACCGATTTAGTTCGCAGTGGATAAATGTTCGTTGTGAAGTTAAATAACGTATGGAAATTTGGAAAATATAACTGTATGTATTCATAACACTTAACTTCCGGTTAGATGACGTCACAGTATTTGGAAGCAAAACGTGAACATTATAAGGGATATCGTTAAATGGGCTACGAAGATATACGACATGAATCAAATGATAGAATTAAATCTAAAATATTATATTAATATTTTCAAATTCTCGTATAAGTAACTTCCGGTCCGATGACGTCAAGAATTTGGAACCTTGCCAAATTATCTGTGGCTAATCAAAGAATATCAAGGGGCGATTTGGAAATATTTGAACCGATCGTTTTCAAATTAAAAAAAACCCAAACACTATTTTATGTGCCGCTAGAGGGCGCCCTTTCGAATGATGACGTCATCACACTGTTGTTTTTTGTGTGTCTAACACTCTTCAATTAACACTTTCATAATTTATATGTGTGTAGTAAAATGCTCCCGCTTTTGAGTTATATGCCGTTTTTATTGCACTTCCGGTAACACCGGAAGTGAAGGTCAAGCGTTTTTGTTTCCGGGATCAAGAAATGTTTCTCACGGCATAGTCTACAACATCACGAAAAAACGAACACGATACTCTATTTGGTTCAAAAGATATAGCACAAACTATTTTGTCAAAATTTGCCCTTAAATTGCTTGTCATTTGATACTTGATGACGTCATGATGACGTAACAAAATTAATAACATTTTTGTACCATGGTATATGTTCACGGGAAGTGACTACTCATTTAGTTCGGAGTGGATAAAAAGTTCATTGTGAAGTTAAATAACGTCACAGTATTTGGACGCAAAAGGTGAACATTGTAATGTATATCGTTATTTGGGCTTCGAAGATATACGACATGGATCAAATGATAGAATTTTAAATTTAAACTAGAAATGTGTTTGTGGACAAACACAAGCTGTTTCGACTGTTACATTATTTGACAAGGACATGAGATTATGACTATTTGTGCATGCAAAGTTTCAACCGAATCGGACGAATAGTTGCGGAGATAAAGGGCTTTAAAAGATGCAAGGTTAGGGCGCCCTCACATGACGACCACAGAAGTGATACTGTCGCCGCCGATATTTTCACATTAACACTTCCCAATATGAGGGCATTCAAAGTTTCAACGCAATGGGACCCATGCTTACAAA